CAATATTTGTCCCAGTGGCCAAATCTGAACAATTTGAGCAACAAAATAATGATAGTAATGGATTAATGTAATAAATAAAAATAAAATAAATTTCCATGAGCCTATACTGATATAAATAAGTGGGGGAGGAGGGAGAGCTCTTCCTAATGTTATAAATTCCAATTAATAACTGTGGGAGGAGTGATGATTAGAAAAATCATCATTTAGGAAACACCATAATAATAATTGTTCCAGGAAAAAAAAAATCAATGGATGTTAAATTTCAAATGGACAGGTTAAGTGATGGTGACTAAAAGGATATTTTTATAGTTTCAAAGCATTTTCCCACAATATACTTATTAATTACAAACGGGAAAATGTCAACTTTACAGTAGAGGAATGTGGCAGACACTACCTAAACCAAGAGACCACAGTTAACTTCATCAGCAATAAGATGTATTGGCATTATGTGCCTTTTGATATAATGCACTGAGAAGAGCAGAGTATGACTTCTGTGGTATTCTTCCCCAAATCCATAGCCTGAATTTAATCATTAGGAAACTTCAGACAAACCCCAATTGAGAGACACTGTACAAAATAACTGGGTCAATATTTGTCAAAATTGTCAAGACAATGAAGGACAAAGATTGAGGGAGACTAAAGAGACGTGACAACTAAATGCAGTGTGAGATCTTGGATTGGATACTAGACCAGAAAAAGGACATTACTGTGTCAAATGGTGAAATTTGAATAACATCTGTAGATTAGTTAATGGTATTGTGTCAGTGTTAATTTGCTGTTATGTAATTTATTGGGTTATGTAAGATGTAAAAATTTGGCAAAGGTGTGTAAGGAAACTCTTTGTGCCATTCTTGCCACTTTTCTGTAAGTCTGAAATTATTTCAAATTGAAGTTAATAAAAAATAATATTTAGGGATTTTGAATGACCCCCTAACGTGTGTCAACAATGTGTTCTGATGGCCAAGTAAGGAAGAAAGGAAGAAGGGAAGAAGGGAAGGATAAATACCCAGAATGAGGAATCTGCATGCCTCCTTTTATTTTTTTTAAGTGTTTTATTTACTTATTTATTTTTAGACATAGGGGAAGGGAGGGAGAAAGAGAAGGAGAGAAACATCGATCAGTTGCCTCTTGCACATACCTCTGTGGGGGACTGGCCCACAACCCAGGCATGTGCCCCGACCAGGAATCAAACCAGTGACAGGACGATGCTCAACCGAGCCACACCAGTCACGGCTGTATGTCTCCTTTTATATGTAGAGTATTGTATTAAGTTCTAGATGTAATGGTTTCAGGGAGATTTAGACAGGAAGATCAATGACTTCAAATTGTTTTATGTAAGGAATGGTTAACCTTGGCTCACAGCTCTTATTTATATATACTTGGGAACACTTAGGGAATATTGATATACTTGGGCCCCACCCTCAGAAAATCTGGCTGGTCTATAATGGAGTCTAGACATTCATGTTTTTTAAAACCTTCCCAGGTGATTCTGATGAGTAATCAGGGTTGAGAAGCCTTTGGTTAAAGAATTTTAAATATTTAGCTAGAAGACTCATTAGCTCTATAAGAATCACATGGGGGAACTTGGGACTAGAAAGCTGAGTTCTGCCCTAGGAGAGAATTTGGAGGATGTGGGATAAGGTCTCCACATCTGTATCTTGGAAAAGCTTCCCTTGTGATCTTGCCACGCAGCCAGGTATGGGAAGAGTGGGCTGGATCAAACTTCTCAAACTTTAATGTGTGTGTGAATCACCAGGGGATCCTTATAAAATAGTTTCCAATTCATTAGGGGCAGGGGTGGAGCCTTAGAGTCTGCATTTCTAATAGGCTTCTGGTGATAACTGATGCTGTAGGTCCAGGGACCACACCTGAGTAGTAGACAGATACTTAGTGCAGGGTGTTATACAAGAGACTCAAGCATTGGATGTGGTGGAGGAAGTCGTTTAGAGGAAGGTGCCTTTCATCCTGAGAGTCTGAGTAATGTAGTTCAAACCTCAGAGATACATTTATTTAGGTGATAGAGTGGTAGAATGGAAGGAGCATTGGCGTGAGAATTAGAGCGGATCTCATATTCATAGTTTACTGTCTGGGTAACCCTGAACAAGTTATTTCACCTTTTTTGAGTCTCAGTTTTCAATTAGCAGAAGAGATAGAACAAAATCTCCCTGGAAGATTAACATTAGAGAAAATGCCTTTAAGGGACCTCACATAGCCCTTCACACAGAACAGAGGTTCAGAAAAGTGGTGACTGTTACCGTTATGACTTAGAATCCTCTTTTGTTGGAAGACCAGAGTTCTGATTACTGTGCATGAAAGGTATCGTTAGGAGCCTCTAACCACTTTTGCATCAGAGACAACTTCTATTCAACAACCAAAAGAAGGCTATGATTTCATAAATAGAAATTATCTTGGCCTAATGAAAAACACTTGTTCTTGTCTGCCCCCTCCCCCCAACATAAGTAACTTTTGCAATTAGTTTAAGTCTTGGCCTTTTGAAGTGTAACAAATGATTTGCTGACTCAATTATTTGTTGTGCACCTGTTACTCAAGAGTCCAATAATTCTGAACTGTTGTAACTCCCTGCATAGAGCACAGTTCATACCTGAGCTCCTTTGGGCTCAATGTCCTCCTTGCCTCCTTTTCTCCTGTAGGAAACCCCTGGAGTGTGGGCTTCAGGTTGTGCTAATACTCTCTTAGCACCCTATGCACCCATCACAGCACTTGTCTCTAACAGCCTGTGAACTTCTCTTGTTCCCCTCTTCCCTCTCCTTTCCTGAAAGCTTCTGGGAGACATAAGGCTCTTTGTAGCCACATTAACTTAGCACAGTGCCTGTGCTGAAATTATTGTTGAACTGATTGTGTTACACAGGACTCTGTCAAGGAGATCATCGTCTGAGGTATGTGGGGGTCAGGGAAAGCACCTTTCTGAAAAAGGTGCTACTTGAGCTGATAACTTTGAAAGGAGATGGAAGGCAGGGGTGGGGGTAGAGTGGCTGGAAAGCGTGGTGGATTTGGGGCACTGCACATGGTTTGGATGCGCTGAAGCATGGGGTGGGGGCACATGGGGGGAGTAGTGAATGGAGCTGGAAAAGAGGCAAGGGCTAGCACATGACAGGAATGAAATGCAGCTAAGTCTGCATTTTATCTTGAGGATAATGAGAACCCAGTGAAGGATTTTAAGCAGAAATGTGTGGAAAGTGGGTTGAGGGTAATATTTGCTACAGGGAAATTAGTTAGGAGTTTTATACCTGTCAGGTAATCAGGTCCCAGCTGTTACCCTTAATGCCTTTTCTGCTCTTAGCTCCTTTTCCGCAGAGCAGACTGGTTTAGTGTGGAGGATATGCCTTTTATCCCATCTGCCTCACACAGTGCTTTTGCTGTGCAGTGGGAGCAGACCTGGGATGAAAGTCTGATCCACATCAGGCAGAAGGTGTAGTCATTTCTATTCGATGGGATGAGTTGGATAGCAAGAGGCCCTTGGTAAATGCTTAGATCACATTTAGCGGGTTTCATAACAGGTCTGTTATGTCCTAGCTATGGGGACATTGAAGAAGTTATATAACCTCTCTGAACTTCATCTGTAGACAGCAGATGATACTGACCCTTTAGTGCTTTTGTGAGAAATGATTAGATGATGATAATGATGCAAATAATGATAATTTAGGAAGCGTCAATTGTGTGGTAGCCCCGTTCTGGTTATATTCGTTAGTTCATTAAAACATGTATAAGACACCAAAAATAGTGTTTAGTTCATGGTAGGTACTCAGTAAATATTAGATTCCTTCCCCCATCTTCTGCTGATCACTGGACTTGCTATACTTTGTCAGAAGCTGATAGATTATTGCCTTAGTACTCTCTTACAAAGAACTTTATTCCCAAAAATTAACGTAGAGTAAATAATGAAGATTTAATTTAAGCGCAGGAAGCAACCAGTGGGTAATTTCCCACATCATTTTATTAAGGAAGTACTTGGGGCTTAGAAATCAACTGTACTTTAACCAAATTATAATTTAATACTATTAGCTCTTGAACTTAATTTTTAGGTTTAGGGTCTTGGTCTACAGAAACCAGAGACAGCTGCTGCCTGTATTATGACATTGTTCATGTGCTCTTTTAATATTTAGTGACCATCTTCAGACCAAATAATCAGAATAAACACCCACATACAAGCTCTGTGAAAGGGACAAATGGAATATGTAAGGCTGTCGGAGAGTTGGGTTAAGTTATATGTCCCTACCTCGGCCTAACAGGCTTCTGAGGATCCTGGGCCCTAGCTTTGTCTGAAAATAAATGAAAGTGCGCACGCCCTCATCCCCCAGTCTTCAGAAGCACTGTTCACCATAGCCTTTCTTTTTCCTTCTTTGTAAAGATTTTAGGTGACTAGATACTTTTTCACAATGTAAAGCACAGGTTAAAACTTAACTCTGTAGTAATCCTAGGATTATGATGAGCTCAGGAGAATAAATCTCAGGTCAAGTGTGAGATGATTTCAATTAAATCTCATAGTGAAGAAAGCAGCTATGGGAGAAGTGGTTCTGAGCGTGGTTCACTGTTTATTCCTGCTTCCCCAAGATCAGTTCTTACGAATGTCACAGTCCACTGTGCACGTGGGACGTGAGTGATTGTTCCTAAGGAGTATGATGGGTTGCTGGCAGCAGTGATTACACCAAAAGATGGGCTGTGGTTTGGGGCCCAGTCCTCATACCTGGTCAACAGAGCAAAGCTCAAGGAAAGCAGGAGTCACAGTCATTGAAATACTCACCTGCTTATCTGTGTGTACACTGCCACCTAAGTCAGAGGTTAGCTTATCCTGGAGACTAGCATAAAACTAGAGAATTTTAGAACGTGCTATATATCTGACCATCTTTCTTCTTTCTGTCCTTGAGCCTCCTTCTTCCTCTGGATACATATTGCCCACCATAGCTCAGTCTCCCATGGTGCAGGGTAGAGGTGAAGAATAATAGGCAACCTTTCCCTTACTTCCACCTTTCATTTTCCAGCAACAACTGCAGGCATATGTGGCCTGGGTGAACGCACAGCTGAAGAAGAGGCCAGCAGTGAAGCCTGTGCAGGACCTGCGGCAGGATCTTCGGGACGGGGTGATCCTGGCATATCTCATCGAGATTGTTGGTCAGTTGGCCCTGGACTCTGGTGCTAACATAAATCAGAACATGGCCTTCTTCATCCTTTATATGCCTTTCAGAACAAATTGCTGCTTCTTAAAGATATAGGGAAGTGGAAATAGAGAAGACTTGGAATACTTTCCCAAGGTTAATTGATTTATTTATTAGTCAATAAACACTGTGTGCCAGGTACTATATTAAGCTTTGGGAATATCATGAGCACAGTATAAGCTCTCAGCAGCTCCCCCATCTAGTCGGAAAGACTGGAAGGTGAAGTCATTTCCATTCATGTATTTAGTACTCTAATAAAATAATTACAGACAGTAGAAGCACATAGCAGGAGTCACCCAACCCAGTTTTCAGTGTTCAGGAGTAGCTTGTCAGAAAAATTGATGTCTGAACCAAGGCTGGAAAAGGAAGTAGTGGCCAGGCAAAAGGCCTCCTCAAAGATACTCACTATCATAATGTTTCATGAAAGAGCTTGTCCTTTTGAAACCCTGGAGTTGTTGCTGGTCATTTTTATTAGATTGTACCATAACCTTATTTTAATAGCATTTGTACATAGCTCTTATTATTTCCCTTCACCAAATGGTAATTGTTTACTGTCTTTCTTGTGTAATGTGAGTTCTTTAAGAGCAGGTACAGTATAATTTTTTTTTCTGTTCCATAACTCTTAGAAGTGCCTGGTACATAATAGGTACTGATTGTTATATTAGTCAGCTGACCTTACTTAGAGTCCTTAAGGGATGTGAGGCTGCAGGAGGTGATTAAGAAGCCCAGTTTGCTACGGGCAGCCTATCCCTCATTGGCACAGCTCATAGATTCATCAGAGAATTCATTGATAATGATAATAACAATGGTAATAATAATAGAAGCTGCCACTTATTAAATACTCTCTATCTCATTTAATTTAATTTCATGTAATCATCATCCCTTGAGAAACAGCTAATATCCCTATTTTCAGGAAACAAGCTTAAAAGAGAAGTTTTATAAAAATACATTTATGGAGCACTTAGAATATATAAAGCATTGTGTTAAGCATGCTACTTTGATTGATGTATGACATAGGTATGATATGAGTACCACTGTCTTCCTCATTGTATGAGGTTTGAAAAGGCTAAGGAACTTTACAAGATCACACAACTAGAACAGCAGTACAAATCTAGATCTGCTTTGATTTCAAGCTCATTCTAAACATTTAAATTTTCACTTAATTCAATAAATTATACTTGAAAATATCTGGAAGGTATAAAGGATATAAAGTAGCCAAAAGCCTTTTTTCCATCTTTGTCCCTCTGCCAGCTCCCTGTTGTTCTTTCTGGAGGCAACCAGTATTAGCAGGTTTTTGCATTTTTTCCCCCAGAGATATTCTGTGCATATACAAGCAATATGAATATGTGTTCTTGTTTTCCCAAAACCCAAGCTTTTTTGTGACATCTGTTGTGACTTTGCCTTCTAAAAAAACTCGCTGAATTTACTTCCTTCTCCCAGTCATCCTTTAATCCACCTTCATTAGGCTTTTCAGTTCCGCCACTATACTAAAACTGCTTTTCTCAAGGCCACAACCTCTGCCTTGTAAAAGCCAGTGACCAGGTCTCACCCCTCATTTTATTCTGCTTAGGAGAACTTCACACAATTCATCACCCCCTCCGCCTTCAAACGCTTTTCTAAAAAAGTCTTCACCTGAGGGTATATTCATTGATCTTAGAGAAAGAAGAGGGGGTGGGGAGGAGAAACATTGATGTGGGAGGGAACATTGATCAGCTGCCCTTCATATGTGCCGAGACTGGGGATCAAACGCCCCAAACTTTTAGTTACAGGACAGCACTCCAACCAACTGAGCCACCATGCCAGGGCTCAAACAATTACAGTAATTTTTTTTTATCCTTATCCAAGGATGTGCCCATCGATTTTAGAGAGAGAGGAAGAGGAGACAAGGGGGAGAGGGAGAGAAGCGTCAATATGAGAGAGAAACATTTATCAGTTGCCTCTCACATGCACCCTGACTGGGACCAAACCACAACCTAGGTATGTGCCCCGATGGGGAATTGAACTGCGACCTTTCAGTTACAGGAGGACGCTCCAACCAACTGAGCCACCAGGCTGTGGCAGGGCTCACACAATTTCTAAAAGTTTTTTTGGGGGGTGGCATTGATTAATAATATTATATAAGTTTCAGGTGTATATCTTTATTTTTTATTTTTAAGTATATTTTATTAATTATGCTATTACAGTTGTCCCATTCCCCTACCTTTTATCCCCCTCTGCCCTGCACCCCCGCTCCCACCAGCATTGTCCCCCTTTGGTCTGGGTCTTACATGTAAGTTGTTTGTCTTCTCCATTTCCTGTACTATTCTTAACCTCTTCCTGGCTGTTTTGTACCTATCAGTTATGCTTCTTATTCCCTGTACCTTTTCCACCATACTCCTCCCTGCCCTTCCCCGCTAATAACCCTCCATGTGATCTCCATTTCTGTGATTCTGTTCCTGTTCTAGTTGTTTGTTAGTTTGCTTTTGTTTTTTAGGTTGTTTTTGATAGTTGTGAGTTTGTTGTCATTTTACTGTTCATAGTTTTTGATCTTCTTTTTCTTAGATAAGTCCCTTTAACATTTCTTATAATAAGGGCTTAGTGGTGATGAACTCCTCTGACTTGACCTTATCTGAGAAACACTTTATCTGCCCTTCCATTTTAAATGACAGCTTTGCTGGATAGAGTCATCTTGCACATAGGTCCTTGCCTTTTATGGCTTTGAATACTTCTTCCAAGCCCCTTCTTGCCTGCAAGGTTTCTTTCGAGAAATCACCTGATAGTCTTATGGGAACTCCTTTGTAGGTAACTGTCTCCTTTTCGCTTGCTGTTTCTAAGATTCTCTCCTTATCTTTAATCTTGGGCAATTTAATGATGATGTGCCTTGGTGTGTGCTTCCTTAGGTCTAACTTCTTCGGGACTCTCCGAGCTTCCTGGATCCCTTGGAAGTCTATTTCCTTCACCAGATTGGGGAAATTCTCCTTTATTATTTTTTCAAATAGGTTTCAATTTCTTGCTCTCCCTCTTCTCCTTCTGGCACCCCTATGATTCGGATGTTGGAACGTTTAAAGTTGTCCCAGAGGTTCCTAAGCTTCCAGGTTCAGTCTTAAGCCATTGACTATTCTCTATCCCTAAATGATCTCTTTCCAGTATATATTATATCTTTATCCTTAACTTTTTCCTTGAGTTCTAGACATGAATATCAACTCCCTATTCAGCCTCTCTACTTGAATGTCTAAAAAAATCACCAGAACTTTTTTTTTTCTTCTCACCAATCCCTTTATCCTCCAGGTTTCTTCACCTAAGTAATATGTCACAGTTCCATTCACCCAGCTCTTAAAGTGGAACACTTAGAAGTTTTCTTTAGTTATTCTCTTTTCCTCAAGTATCCAGTCTTTACATGTGCTATCTACTTTACGTAAAAAATTTACCCAATATCTGGCTTTCCACCTGGCAATCTCTTCCACTCTGGCCCAAACTGTCATTATCTGTTGCCTTGACTATTTTCACTTTTTTTCTAAATAACCTCCTTGTTTCCTCTCTGCATAATCTATATCTACACAGAGTCAACTTTTTAAAACATAAATCATGTAACTCTCTTCTCTCAAACTCTCCATTGGCTGTCCATTTAGACACTTAGACACTTAGGATAAAATTCAAGCTCTTTATTCTGGTCCACAGAATCTTACATTAACTGGACTTCCAGCAAAGATGGAGGCGTAGGTAGATACACGTTGCTTCCTTGCACAACCAAAAGGACAACAAATTTTAAGCAAAAAGTAACCAGAACTGCCAGGAAATTGAACTGTATGGAAGTCTGACAACCAAGGAGTTAAAAAAGAAACATTCATCTGGACAGGTAGGAGGGGTGGAGACAGGCAGCCAGGGGTGGAGAGGACGCGAGGCAAGGCAGTGGCTAGAGGACCAGGGGGGCAAGGCAGTGGCTGGCAGACAGGCAGTCCCACACTGGCGTGCAAATAAACTGGGCAGAACAGCTGGGGAATGAGATGGACTGCGTAACCCAGGGTCCCAGTGCAGAAAAAGAAAGCCTCAAAACCTCTGGCTGTAAAAATCTGTGTGGGTTGCGGTGGCAGGAGAACTCCCAGCCTCACAGGAGCGTTCATTGGAGAGACCCACAGGGTCCTAGAATGTACACAAACCCACCTACCTGGGAATCAGCACCAGAAGGGCCCAGTTTGCTTGTGGGTAGTGGGGGAAGTGACTGAAAGCTTGCAGAGAGCCAAGCAAGTGGCATTGTTCCCTCTTGGAGCAAAAGGAAGAGGTAAAAATTGAACCAGAACAGAGTAAAGAAACAAGAATTCAAAAAAATGAGAGGCTTAGGAACCTCTGGGACAACTTTAAACGTTCCAACATCCGAATCATAGGGGTGCCAGAAGGAGAAGAGGGAGAGCAAGAAATTGAAACCTATTTGAAAAAATAATAAAGGAGAATTTCCCCAATCTGGTGAAGGAAATAGACTTCCAAGGGATCCAGGAAGCTCGGAGAGTCCCGAAGAAGTTAGACCTAAGGAAGCACACACCAAGGCACATCATCATTAAATTGCCCAAGATTAAAGATAAGGAGAGAATCTTAGAAACAGCAAGCGAAAAGGAGACAGTTACCTACAAAGGAGTTCCCATAAGACTATCAGGTGATTTCTCGAAAGAAACCTTGCAGGCAAGAAGGGGCTTGGAAGAAGTATTCAAAGCCATAAAAGGCAAGGACCTATGTGCAAGATGACTCTATCCAGCAAAGCTGTCATTTAAAATGGAAGGGCAGATAAAGTGTTTCTCAGATAAGGTCAAGTCAGAGGAGTTCATCACCACTAAGCCCTTATTATAAGAAATGTTAAAGGGACTTATCTAAGAAAAAGAAGATCAAAAACTATGAACAGTAAAATGACAACAAACTCACAACTATCAAAAACAACCTAAAAAACAAAAGCAAACTAACAAACAACTAGAACAGGAACAGAATCACAGAAATGGAGATCACATGGAGGGTTATTAGCGGGGAAGGGCAGGGAGGAGTATGGTGGAAAAGGTACAGGGAATAAGGAGCATAATTGTTAGGTACACGAAGCATAATTGATAGGTACAAAACAGACAGGGAGAGGGTAAGAATAGCATAGGCAATGGAGTAGCCAAAGAGCTTACATGTACGACCCATGGACATGAACTAAGTGGGGGCGGGAGGTGCTAATGAGAGGGGGAGTACAAGGTGGAGGGAAATAAAGGGGAGAAAAAATGGGACAACTGTAATAGCATAATCAATAAATTATATATAGACTTAAAAAGAAAGAACCTTACACGACCTGGCCTTACTTACCTCTCTACCTGCTCCTAGGACCACTCCTGTCTCCTTCCAGTTCCAGCCATACTGGCTTTGCTGCTGTTCCTCAGATAGGCTGAGCTCATTCCTGCCTTGGGCTTTGTACCTAATTTCAGTCTAAAATGCTTCCTCCTCAAATCTTAACATCTCTTACTTTATTTAAGTCTCTACCCAAAATTATTATCAGAGAGGCCATGATCTCACCTCTTTTTCTTTCCCCATAGCACTTACCACTACCTGAAATTATGTTAAACATTTACTCATTAACTTGATCAGCTCTCATCGTTGCAGATACAAACTCTCTGATGGAAGGGACTTTTTTTTTTTTTTAATTAATGATCTTTTTATTCCTTTTTTTTGGTGGGGGGGAGTCTTTGTCTGCCTTGTCCACTAATGTTTTTCTGGTGCTCAGAACAGTGCCTGGCACACAGTGAGTGCTTAATGAATATTTGTTGAATGAATACATGTACACACAGTAACTTTACAGACCCCTGAAAATAGATTTAAAAATTTGCATGCCTTCCAGAAGACTTTCCTTTTCCTAGTCCCCATCCAAGTTACAAACACTAGGCTTAGCTCACTTGCATATTTATATATAATCTTACTCTTTATATCAAATACTCCCTTTTTTTATGTCTGGCCATATGAAACTTTGATAGTATTTCTCCCTATAACTTCATGTATTTTCTGTCTTCCAACAGCAGGAGAAAAGCTGAGTGGGGTACAACTGAGCCCTAGAAACCAACAGGAGATGAAGAATAATGTGGAGAAGGTGCTACAGTTTGTGGCCTCCAAAAAGATTCGTATGCACCAGACTTCAGCTAAAGGTCAGTACCTCTTTGTGTCCTTGGTGGATGAGTACACTCGATTTCGGCTGGTAATTCCTCGGTAGTGCAGCCCAGGGATCGGGTAGACAGGAGTCCGATTAAGCCCATGACCTCATGTCATTTTCCATAAAGAAAGTTCTTGGGACAGAGTGATTATCAAAATTTGACTTGGAAACCTGGGTGAAGATAGACAAAAGACATTCCCTGTTCATTTTAATTGCATAAAGGTTTACTTGACTGTGTATAGGACATTAAATAGAGAAGAAATCACAAAATTGGGATATTACTTTTAGAATATCTCTTTTATCAAAGACGAGGATAGATTATGCATTTCAACTAGGATATCATGACTAAGAATTGTTTCAAATCATAATAGCCTACGTTTTTTTCCATCCAGTTTTCCAGACAAATTATTTCCTAGCTTTTTCTTTGTTTTTGCTTTTTGCTTTTTTTTTTTTTTTTTTTTTGACATCATAGAACATTCCTGGGAGGATGAAAGGGGCTCGGCCACCTCTGCGCATGCCCTGTCCTATAGACACTTGGCAGAAGATGACACTTCTCAGTCCACCTTGAGCCCAGGCTGCAGGGAAGAACAGGTGTAGGTGTCCTTAGAAATCACAGGCTGTCTTGTCCTCTTACCATTTCTCTAGAATTGATTGTGATCCAGTTCTGTTTCAGCTTCAGTTTCTGGGCCTGATTACCTGTGGTTCTTGAGAATGGGGACAGGAGGGAACACCCCTTTCATGTTGGATTATTGATGTTTTCTGTGTTGGGGTCGTTCAGGTAGGGTAGAAGCTATTGACCAGTCCTTTCAAAACCTTGCACATTTAAAAGGCTATGAAACAAAAAACACCCATAGAATTTTAACTATTTCTTTACATTAACTTTCACCAGACCTATCTATCACATTTTTTTTTCTGCCTCCATTCTTTTCTTTTTCTAGGGCAAATTTAAAATCCAGTAATCTCTCTCTGGTCCTCATGAGGAGTGGGCTTGGGGATGTGGCCCATTAAGTAAGCTATTTTAAGGGACTGCTGCCACTCGGGACACCATTGTCTTTTACCTGGAAAAGTGCAGTGGCTTCCTGATGAGTTCCGCTACATTGATTTTGCCCTCCTCCCCCATGCTCTCCACACTGCAGCCAGAATGATCTTTCCAAGAGTGCATGTGCTTGTGCAGTCCTCTGCATATGAGGGTCCTTAGGATAAAACCCAAAGTCCTTCCTGTGACTTGTGCTCTTTCTGACCTGCCCCCTCATTCATCCTCCTCACCTTTCACCCTCTCCTCCTGCACTCGGAGCTCTAACTATGCTGGACTTCTTTCAGTCCCTCTACCACAGAGCTGTGCCACAGAAATATGTGAGTCACATGGATAACGTAAATTTCCTAATAGCCACATTTTTAAAAAGAAAAAAGCCGTGAAACTAATTTGAATAATAAATGTATTTAACTCAGAATATTCCAAATATTATTTCAACATGTTTTCAATATAAAGAACAGTTAATGAGGTATTTTGCACTCTACTTCTTGTACTACATCTAAGGAGATATTTTTCCCTCTGTGTGTGTGTCTGTGTGTGTGTGTTAAGTAAGTACTACACTTACAGCTATTTCAATTCAGACTATAGCTACCTTTTAAGGGCTCAATGTGGCTAGCAGCTCCCAAATCAGACAATCCAGCTCTTGTATGTCATGCTTTCTCTTGCCTGTATGCCTTCATACTTGCCGTTCCCTCTTCTTGGCATATTCTTTTCCTTCTCTTCCCTCATCTGATGAACCACTATTCATCAATCCTGTCTCAGTTTAAAATTCACTTCCTCTGGGAATCCCTGATCCCTTTAGACTAGACAGGATGCCTCTACTCTGAGCCCTCAAAGAATCCTGTACTTCTCCTATGATAACATATTATTGTACTTGATTGTAATTGCTTTAAAATCTTCTGTCTCCCTGTTGAGTACAGCTTTGTGAGGACAGACACCTTGACTGCCTCGCTCATCTTCGTCACTAGCAAGTACATAGTGAGTAAATGAGTCCTCAGCTCTCTGCCTCCCTCTGAGGACCTGTCGGTCTGTTCTGTCCCTCAGATATTGTGGAAGGAAACCTGAAGTCTATCATGAGGCTGGTCCTTGCCTTGGCAGCTCATTTCAAACCCGGCTCTGGCAGGACAGTAAGCCAAGGACGGGACTCCAGAGCCCCTGTGCAGAGTCACCAGCCACACTGTGCCACTGCTGTGGCCCAGGGCGCAGCTGCTGCTCTGGCTGATGTGTGTCATGACATGTCACGGTCAGGACGGGATGTCTTTCGATACAGACAGAGGTAAGGGTAGGAATCTGAGGATGGCAACTTGATTCTCTCTGATAGTTCTTCCCTTCAATGATACTGTGCGGTAGATGAAAATATCACCTGAACAGCCCCACACTGCAGCGAAGAGGGATGGAGGCTGCAGAGGGCACTTCAAAAAAGAAAAGCCCTTTCTCTTAGAGAGCTGGATTTGCAGTGAACAGAAAGTAAAGGAATTGCATATGTTATGTTTTGCTCTGGTGCCCAGAATTTTAAATACATGCCTTTGACACAGTGTGCTTTCTTCGCTGGGAGATGTATGGGAGCCATGTTCCAATTCATCTGGAAGAGTCTCTCCCTGAAATATATCCTGAAGGTCAAGCTGTCCTGGAATTGTGCCTTGGCAGTTGTGTTCTGCTAAGCATTCCCCTGAGGTCTTGCAAAGATTGGTGAAATTACATGTTTTTGTGTCTGTCTTCCCTGCTAGATTTCAAGTGTCTTTAAGGCAGGGGTTCTGCCTTATTTATCTTTTTTCCCATAGTGCTCACAAAGTGGCCATCTGTCAGTACTTGTTGAGTTGACCTGAAGGACTGATACCTTCTCCTTTGCTGCTGCCCTCTGTCTTTAGGAACAGCAGCATGGATGAGGAGATTGAGAATCCATACTGGAGCGTGCGGGCTCTGGTGCAGCAGTATGAAGGGCACCAAAGGTCCCCGTCTGAGTCCAGCTGCTCCAGGTAACTGTGTCCTCCAATTATTTACCATTACCATCCTAGCCCAAAGCTGAATTCTTGGGGATTCTCAGGGTTCTCAGCCTCAAGTAGCAACACACAGGCCATAAAGGTACCTAAACTCTCTTTCTCTCAGTTTATGTTTGGCTTTAACGGGGGAGCCCTCAGCACCACAGCGTGTTTGTGCTGGGGGGAGGGGAGGGCGGGATGCTGGTGAACTTCCCCAGTGCGGAAGCTTTGTGCAGAGCTCCGGTGGCAGTGCTTGGCTGTGTCCACATGAGGGCATGACTGGGACCTGTCATGGCCCAGCCTGGTGGTTCACATGTTTGTATATCAGCTGCCAGTGTTTATGAAAACCGGTTCCATCGCGCTGTTTTTGTGCCTGAGATGGCTATATTAAAGCTCATGGCAAGAGAAAATGAGCAGGGTTGTCTTAGAGCATTAGAATGTTTGTAACTTTCCTTTATAGGGCTGGGAATTGTGTCAGGTTAGTACATATTTGAGTGAGCAAATGATGTATGTGACTGTAGCTAAAAGGCTGTCTATATACTTTAGAGCCAAGTGCAGAGACCAAAACGGGACACAATGCTCTCATAAAAGCCTGACCAATGCCAAGTATAGTGGCAGGAAAAGACTACTTTCCTGGCTTATGTAAATCATGCTTCTATAAACACATACTCAGATCATGTTACCTTATTTACTAACTTCATTTCATTGCCGAATCATATTTAATTTATGTTCTTCTGACCCTTTTTTTTCTTACCTCAACCCAGCTTAGTCTAGTTAAACCAAATTGTTCTTTGTCTTATATGTATTGCATCTTTGTTTTTTCCCCCTCCTATTTCTTTCTCTCATAAAATTCCCTCTTAGCTTGATGGGCCATTTCCTAATTTACTGAGGTCACACGGAAGTCTTTCTAGCATTTTAATATATTGGTGACCTTGTTCAACTTTAATTTTCCCATTTAATAGATGTGCTTTCCCCCCATTATTATCACTTTTTATTTGACAATAGTTGGTTTAGTCTAGATGGGCTTTGTTATGTATAACATTCACATAACATAAAATTAACCATTAGTCATCTTAAAGTGTACAATTCCGTGATATTTAGTATCTTTGTAATGTTGTACAACCATCACCTCTCTCCATTTTGAAGATATTTTCATCACCCCAAAAGGAAACCCACTTCTTCCTTGCTTGCTGCTTATGAAATTGGAAAACTCAGTGTCCATGCTGTCTGTCACTACCAGAACCAATAAGTAGAGACAAGGATTGAATCATTATGGGCGCTTTATTCAGATGGCTGTAGATCTGAGAAGACAGTGGATTATGAACCCTGAAAACCATCTTAACGTTTCATCTCAAGCTGACCCTTTTTAGAAGGAAAAGAAGAGGGTAGGGAAGGGGTTTGGAATACAGGAAAAAATTAGGTAAATGGTTTGGAATTCAGGGGAAAAGGTTAATCAGATAAAGGCTGCAGTCCAGCCATGTTTCTGGCATCCCTTCATCTGCTGACCCATGATTCTTTGTCTGCGTCCTGGGCTGCAGACATTCTCTCCCTGGAGGACAATACCTCAGATACCATCTTGATCACTTGCAGTCCTCCTGGGAGTTGCTTGCAGGCCTCCTAGAGTCATCAGGGTAGGTCCAGTCATACATTCTATTTCCTGGAACAACAGCTTTCAATATGCATTAATCACTAAGTTTATTAATTATAAGCTAAAGCTTAAAAAAATTTTTTACTCTTGGGTTTCCCCATCACTTAGATTGTCACTTGGTACAGAATCAAAGGAGATTTCGCTGTATACTGAGATCTGTTGCTACCTGCATGGCTACAGGCCTTTTGCTCTTCTGTGCCATCCTGATAGTGCCTTCCAGCATTAGAGAGAAAGAGAGGGATGGAGGGAGAGAGAGAAGTCTGGATTTCTTCCTGAGAACACCTGCTTCCTTCCCCTCTGGCAGAATGCAGACTGGGGCAGAGGCAGAGTGAGAGTATGAATTAGGGACCCACTAGAAATCAGACTGCAGTGGGATGATGGTGACAGTTTTCTAGGAGGGTGGCTCAGAGAATAGTTTACATTTCTCTCACTCGCTGATTTTTTTATTTTCTTCTAAGCTGACCTCTCACTCACCTCCTTAGGGTGCTCCGTCAGCACCCTGCCTTTGCCTTAGTTGGCAGGCTGGGACCCAGCAGGCTTGGGCACATTTTGCCCCATCCCTCCACCCTTGCTCACGGGGAGCCCATTTAATGACTAGTGACCATGAATCATGCCCAGGAGACCCCGGGATGTGACTCAGAACCGGGAGAAGGTTAGGTTAAGATTGGAAAGATATAGCCCTTAGTGTCTAATTCCCTTGCCCCAGCTCCTCTAGAGACACTGCCGGCCTGTTGCTTCCAAGACAGGCCAGCCTCTCACTGTGTCCTAGTGAAATGCTCCCTAGTTGGTAAAAAAGAACACTGAAAAGCCCAAGAGGAAGGTGGGAGGAGATGGGCGTTCCGCGGGTTTCCGGGGCGGGCGGGGTGGGGGGGGCAAGGGGGGCGGAGACCCCACCCCGGAGGAGCTGACTTATCCCTACGACCTCAGTGGCCTAGAAGGGAGGGCTCAGGGTCGAGAAGGCGAGGTTTTCAGATCTGGGGTTCTCAGGATGAGGACCACAGCCCTGTCTGGGGATGCTGCCCACCAGCGTTTTCTCCTAGCAGTCAGCCTCGCCCCGCCTCTGCTGAGAGCTCCGGCAGCGGTGCCCACCTGGGTCCGAGCAGCACTGCCTGGCCACGTGTGACAGCCTGGGAAGGGGCGGGGAGGGAGGGGCAGGGAGGGACTGGGGTGGCGCTGCGGAGCTGGGGTCGCCCGCACGCTCGCTGCCCGGGACTCCACCGGACCGCGCGGCCGGAGCCGCAGGAGCGTTTCTGGAGGTCGGAGATGGGATGAGATGCCCGCACCCCAGGGCATGCCCAGAGCCGCTCGGGCACAGAGACCACCATGCACCTCCAGTCGGCAGCCTGCGAGGGGACGCGGCTTCCGCCCAGACCCTGCAGCAGCTGTGTCTGAGCCGCCAGGGCAGCGCGCCTCAGACCTGGGAGCATCCCGGTCCCTGGGACCGAGACGCCTGCCTCTCTGCCCTCCCTCCTGTTTCCTGCGATCGGGGCCAGCAGCTCTGGTAGTCGGCCTGCCTGCGGAGTCGTTCTTTGGGCCCCAGCCCCGGGAGACATGCCCGAATTCGGGAGCGCTGTGACTCTCAGCCTCCCACTTCACCCAGGGAAGCAGGCTTGCTGAAGCCGAGCCAGGACGGGGCCATGGGGGGGACGCAAGTCAAATGGTGAGCTGAGGCCACTTTGGCTCTGGAGGTGGGGGCATGGGTGGGAGCTGAGCCAGAACTGGAGGATGCTGTTGGCCAGAGGAAGACGGGGGTGGTGGGGGCGCTATATTGGGGAGAACAGGCTGCTGGCTTGGGATCATCACTATAAAATACAGTGGGTTTGGGAAGCTGGAGCCAGCGTACGGGAAGGCAGGTGGCCCTGTACCCTGTCTTGTCTGCTAAGGAAAGGCTCTTCAGGAGGGAAGAGGACCTCTTTTTTATCGCCCTTTACTATTTTTTAAAAATTGATTTGACTCTACTTTGCAAATATCTTTGCTGGGGACTGCTTGTCTGATAAATTAAGGTTGGAGAGAGGTTAGACCTGTGGGAATTAAGCGGTGTATCAGTTGTTACCTGATTTGAGAAGATTATGATGGCGGGTAGAGGATTACTTATTTATACAATAAGACTTTAAAGCTAATCGGGGAGAGCCTATAGCATATAATTAATTAGTGTGAAAATACTTTTCTCTGATTTGAGGCAGAGGATTTAATGCACCATCCTCACTCATGAGGTTCTTCTTGCCTCAGAATATTTTTTCCCTCAAGTCCTTTCTCTTTTAACTTGGCCATCTAGTTTCATGGTCTTAGCTCTCTGGCCTCACGCACTGGCAGCCTCAGTTCAAGAACGAGAAATGTTGTTTTCTTCTAGCTGCTCTGCCACTCCCCCAGTGGGGTTGGATATGCCTGCATCCGCCTCCTCTGCCCGTATATGGGAGACAGCTCACTCAGGAGGGAGGAGGTGGAGCTGAGCATGCGTCTCTGCTTTCAGGAAAGCAGTTTTCCAGCATCCGAGGTTCACACCACCCTTCCCAACCCCACCTTCCTCTCACACGTTACCCACTGTGGTCCAGCCAGATGCAGACAGCGGGACATGTCACCCATAGCACTTTGTCAGCTGAGAAAGTCTTATTTCTCAGAGAAACAGCAGTTGCAGGCCTCTTTCTGCACTTGGATCCCAATTTCTGGAAGAAGGCAAATGCTGAGGCCTGAGCAGTCATAAATCTGTTTCCTTATAAATGACATAGTACCCCTAGACTAGTGTTTTTCCAGCAGCTACTTCATGTGGCCTGGAATCAGATTGCCTAAGCAGTGAAAGATGGATAAGAGAGTTCCATAAAGCAGTTACCTTTTCTAAATACCACTTCTTGCTTCTCTGTACGCCTCTTGCCTGTTCAGGTTGTAGATCTATAAATATGGTTAAGTGCCTTTCTTTAATTTGAAGAAGCAAACAATTTAAAAAGTTTTCTGTGTTCTAATCAGGATGAGAATGTATTACTGGTTGAGGTCATTCCGACCAAAGTCTTTAAACTTCGGACAATGAGTGGGATGAGACCCTAGTCCTCCACTTGCTTCGTGAGGTTTGAAATCTCTAGCCACCTCCACTGTGCTTGCCACTTGTTTTTACTGGTTTCTAGGAAGAAGAAATGTTAACTCCTGATTGTGGCTGTGAGGATTAGCCTGGGAGACTTCAGGGGCACATTAAGTGGGTCAGTGAATACTAGACACTGTCACTGTTGTCTAGGTGATGGATTTAGAAAGAATTCTTGCGAGAGGGCTGGGCCTGCAGACCCCACAGCCCCTGAGATTGTTTCAGTGCCAATGTTCTCAAGGTGCAATGCAAAAAACAAAACAAACAAAAGAAAAATGGCTCTTCAGATGGAAGCATTATTTTTACGTTCCAATCTTGTATAGATTTGCTTTTGTTCTGGAGATTTAAAATTCCATTTCCCTAAAAATCTGAACGTTTCCTTTCAAGACTGGTGATTATATCAGAACTTATGAATTGTTTCAAGTTTTCTGATGACAATTAGAATAGTATGGTAGACATATAAGTAACTCTGGGAATAAATCAAACGATTTCCAAGCAGGCCTTTTTCCCTTTTGATTGACCTGTTACCCTTTCCCTTATCATGTCCCAGCTTTGTTGATATATCACTTCCCCTTTGTCCATCCTAGCACTGTCCACACTCTAGCAGTTTCTCCCTGCTGAGACACCTTCCACTCTCTCCCCTCCTTTGGCATCCATCAGCCCAGAACTGATTTGCTATGATTACTCTGCTGATATTGCTTGTGTCTGTGAAAGATCAGTGCATTGGAAACAGATTTTCCTTCAGTTTCCCAAAGATTCTAAAACACATACTACATCAGCCTCTGAATTTGGTCCCAGGGATGGTGGTGGTGGTGGTGTGTAAACAAAACAAAACAAAACAAAATCTGAAACTCTTTAAAATGCTAGATTATCCATCCTTCTGATAATTTTTTTCTCAGTAAATTAAGCTTAAAGGCAGCCTTGCTGTAGAAAAGATTTCCTAGGTCTGGGTCATTTATTCATTCAATGTTCATTTCACTCAATGAGTGTATTTATTCAAAAGTATTTGTTCTTATTGTAGGCCAGGTATGGTGTTAGGCAGTAGGATTAAGATGAATAAGAACATGTCTCTGGGATAAGTTATGAAAGTTGGCTTCTAGACAGATGTCCATAATAATTGTTTCTTTTTCTTTCATCACAGCCTGACTTCACCCAGTCCTATCCACAGTGCAAAGAGCGAATCCATTATCACCCAGTCAGAGGAGAAGGCAGATTTTGTGGTTATTCCATCTGAAGGAATAGAGAACAGGACAGGTACTATTTCTCGGCTTGTCTGCGTTGGCTCAAGGAGTAGCCCTCAACTTGAAGAGCTGGGGGTCCTGACTATCTACCTATAAACTTCCTGGTCTTGTGCTTCTCTCTAGTCTGTGCATAAGGGCTTAGCTGTAGAGGGCCGTAATGCTTTAGAGCTAATTAATGTAGTTACCCTCCTAGAGAATGTCACTTCCAGTGTTCTGGCCGTCAAAAATCTTGCAACGGTATAGATAGGCTGTTCCTCAGCTAGCTGCCTATGAATTAGGAAATGACTTTGGAACAGTCAGAAGCCTAACTCAAGTAAATAGTTTTCATTATTTCTGTGTTATACAAATAATTTCACTACTTCCCTAATTTAAATTGGGGCTAGGAATATAGTGTAGGAACTGAGGTGTCTGTGAGAACAGGCAGTACAGAGCAGGTCTACATCAGGCTTGGTATGAGGGCTACGGAAAGGACCACAAGGAGTTACCTTTATTTAGACTTCTCCTTCCTCTGTTGAAGTTGCTCTGTTTTTACTTACATAAATGTAGAGGGAAACATGGAAGAGGCAAAACGTGTGATTTAGATAGAGTTTCATTAACCTGTTAGAAATACAATGAAACCAAAGCCCTAAGAAGAAAAACTGAAATTAAATTCTCTCTTATTCCATTCCCCGCTTAGCTCTGGCATTGGTATCAAAGAATAAGTCATGTTAGTCAGACACTCCTGGGACCCCAGGGAGGGAAAGGGAAAGCATTTATTGAGTGTCTGCTCTGGGCCAGGCACCAAGTGGCCCTGCATGTTAGTTACCTCATTTAATCTTCGCAACAACATTGCCAGAGGGACTAGACTCACTGTATTCACTTTTATGAATGAAATCAGAGCAAAGAGATTGTAAAGGTAGGAAAATACAACAAAACCGGAGAGAGAGAGAAGAAATGAAACAATTTGTGCAAATATGCTTTTACCGGTTTGTTCCTGTGTGAGTCACACAATGTTATGTGTGAAAGGAGATCAGTTATGATGGAAGAGTCAAAGGAATATTGACTTGAGGTCTCTCCTCTGAAGCTCCAGAGCAATCAACAGGAATTTCATTTTCAATGCATCTGACACCTCCCCTCTTTGTACCTGGCAGAATCAAGCTCTGGGAATGCCAGTTTCAGAGAATTAATAGTAAAATCTGCATACCAAGATTCCCAAAGAGGAGATCTTACTGCTTCCTAAATGTTCTGAAGAGGCTATGTTCCCCCAACAGAGTTAGTGTTGCTTCCAGGAGCCTGGGTCTGAGTTAATAGCCAGTTCTTAGGCCTCACAACCCCACCTGGTGGAGAGTCCAGGAGTGCAGTGAGGACAGGTTCAGGAGGAGGGTGACCTGAACCTGTGAAAGCAGAGGACTGTTGAACGCTTTCTGCCGAAACTGTTTTCTTCAACATGAACTGTACTCCTTCCTTTCATTTTGTAGAGGAAGCAGACTCTCCATTATCCAGAGACTGGCGACCAGGTAGTCCCACAACCTGTTTGGAGACTTCATGGGAAGAACAGCTGTTGGAACAACAAGAACATTTAGAAAAAGAAATGGAGGAAGCCAAGAAAATGATATCAGGATTACAGGTAGCTCTTTCCCTTGTAGTTTGTTTTTGGTGTACCACTTTGATTATTATTCTTAAGGCACTGGTATCAACTGAAAATAAACTGACTCAGTTTTGTGTGAGGTCAGAGTTGAATGGGGAGTTTAGATAGAGGGCATATTATGCAAAAAGCATAAAGTTCTTTTTATGTGAGTATAGTACTCTTAAATGAACATTCTGGACTCGCGTTTACAACATGACTTTAGGAGTTCTGGGAGCCTGGGAGCCATCATTGAGCCCTACCAAACTCTTATTCTGGCTCTCTGCTTGTAGGTGGGTTCCTCCCCTCTCTGCAGCTACAGATTTGCAATTGCTGTTTTTCACTAAATAGTGGCACCATGCCATAGGTCTCTGTTTGAATCAGAGGGATTTAACTCACTCCTAATGCATTTGCAAGTGGTTGCCCAGGTAGGCTTCATGACCAGGTAGAAGAGGTTTTCTTTGAGCAACAAAACCCTTCAGTTTTTCTTGTATCTTCAGTGCCAGCTCAGGAAATCTCCCTCAGAGGCCAGCTGACCCACTTGACTTAGTTTCCACCCTGAAATAACCCCCCAACCCTCTGTCTTTGTGCGCCTGTCTCTGTTTGGGGGAGCCCTTGTAGTGTGCTGATGACCCTGAAATTGCCTAGGAATATTCCTTTCTGTTTGTGCGAGGAACTGCACTGCTTCTGAATTCTCAAATATTTATGGACACGTAAACAAAGCCCACATTATGTGAGTGGCTCTGGCAGCCAGCAGGTGGAGGGCGTGCTCCCAGCCAGCCAGCAACCGGGTGGGGACACAAAGGGTCCCTAAAGAAAAAAGGAGATTGGTACTGGGGTAAGACAATTTGCATAATGTATGCCCCAGAAACTGAGAAGGGCTGTTGAGGCAGTAAACATTCCTCCAAGGAAAGTTGTTGATTCCTTTCCCAGCTCCCTCCCTCCTCCTCCCATTTTTCTATGTACTGCTAAAATTTTGCCTTTTAGATCTCTTTTTGCAACTCCATTAAGGAATGGTTTAATTAATAAGATGGTTTGGAGGTGGGTGTTTGGTTTTTTTTTTTTGTTTTTGGTTTTGGTTTTTTTTGTGGTGTCCTGTGATTGAAAGTATTAAATCATGGAAAACTTTGGGCTTTTATAACCCAACCAGGTTTTTCCCAAAATAATTTCATTTTATGAACATAGAGATCCATCAGTTTGGATCTCAGTTTGGTTTGCATTTCTCAGTCTGGGAGAAATCCAACAGCAGGTTAAACAGAAAAAGAAGAGAATCAATAGGCAGAAAGTTAGCATCCTAATATTCTCAGCACACAGAGGAGTTTTAAATCACAGCCACATGATCACAATGAGAATTCAGTTCCATTATAGAATACAATGGGGCTCACAGCATCCACTGCGCTTCTTAACTCTTTCAGTGATGAACAAATTGCATGCTATATCCTGGATTTCTGACTTATTAGTAGGCTTCAGTTAGAGCCCAGTGAACACTTTGCCATTAGGGTCAATATTTCTGTAAAGTTGCTCTCCCTTAGGTCCCTTGCAGCTCTGTGGCTTCTTATACTTGCCTATACCTCTTGCCACAACTCCATGGGATAACCAAATTAATTTGATTTACTAAGCTTTTATTATTAATTAGTGCTTGGTAGACCAACCAGTGGTTGGATTTTTATATACTAACATTTGTGGTTTAATTTGTGTTATATTTATTGAAACAGGATTTAACCTCTGTAACTCTTCTTTTTTGATTGGATTGAGAAAAACTCATGATATAAAATGAGGACTCATTTAAATATCTTTGATTCAGCTGATAGGTCTTGTAATACCTACCTGCAGGGGCAGATCCAAGTTTTATGAGTCCAAAAGTACACAATTTGGGGGGCCATCTTTAAGAAGACGGTTACATGCCTTGGCCAGGTGGCTCGGCTGCTTGGAGCATCGTCGTGTGTAACCTTTTGTGCACCAGAAGGTTGACTCCTAGTCAGAGCCCATACCTAGGTTGCAAGGTCAATCATCAGTGTGGGCACATTTGGTAGGCAACCAGTTGATGTTTCTCTCTCTCTCTCCCTCCCTCCTTCCTTCCCTCTCAGTTTCTCTCCCTCTTCCCTTCTTCCTCTGTCTATAAAATCAATAAACTTGTCCTTGGGTGAGGATTTAAAAAAAAAAAATAGACTGAGGTGCAGATTACGCATGCAATATTTGATATAAGACCTTGGGAGGGCCATATGCAGGAGGGGGCCTGCAGGAGGGGGACGGGGTTGGAGCTTCCTTACCTTCAGGGTAAATCTCTGCCCCCCCCCTTTTCTAATGAAAGCAAAACCGGATGTGGGGAGTGGAAATGAATGCCTATATCTCTCTGTAAGTATGTTTTCCTTCTTGTTCTACCCAAGTTGCCTTAGGGACTAAATATGCAGGATTATTAAAACAAACCCAAATCAGTGCTCTAAATATATTCTAACTAATTCATTGTAATAAACTTTTGTAAGCCAGGAAATTCTACACTGCTTTTTGGTTCGCTTTCCAGCTGGCAAAATTCAGTTTGAGTGGCTGTGGTTTGAAATGCCGCTTCAGAAAGGAATGTTTATTTTAAATTGTTTTCTGGGGCCAAGGAGTCTTGGAGCAGAGGACTCAGGTGCTTTCAGAGAGCTGGAAGAGGCCCAGAGCATGGCCTGACCAAAGGAACTCCAGGTAGACCCAAGATGAGCAATTGGATGTATCTAAGGATCAGGATCAAAAATTACCAAGGATCAAATTCTTCTTCAGGAAGCCTAGTTGTGGTTTGAATGTGGGATGAGCCTACCGAGCCCAACCCTGGACTAGGTTCTGTGATGGGAGTTAAGTTTCTTTCTGCCTTTGTGGTTATGCAGGCGTTGCTGCTCAATGGGTCATTACCCGAAGATGAACAGGAGAGGCCTTTGGCCCTCTGTGAACCAGGAGTCAATCCTGAAGAACAGCTGGTGAGCTCCTTCTCTTGTGACTGGACACCAAATAGTCTGGTTAATTTGTTTGATTTATTTTTGACTGTGCTGCCTGCACCTTCTTGAAATGCTCTTTTCTCTAACTCCAACTCTCCTGTTTTTCTCTTATGTTTTTTAGTACTTTTCTTTTCCTTTTTTTCTTCCTTTCATTCATTTACTCAACAAATACTTATTGAGGGCCATCTCTGTCCCAGTCACTGTTTCAAAGTGCTGGAGATATGCTAATGGAAAAACAGGCCTACGACCCTATCCTCAGGGAGTTTCCGGTCAGGTCTCCTTTTCTGCTGGAGCCGTAAATGTTTGTGCTCCTCAGGGTTCCCCACTCCCCCCACCCCCGACCCTGCCCAACTTCCATCTTACACATTCACCTGGATGATAGTTGCCTCCATGGCTTCATTCACTTTCCTCCTGACTCATATGTTGCCTCTCAAATATTTGTTTCTAGCTCTCTCTGTGGTGTACTAGATTTATATATGCAGCATGCAATTGCCTGTTGATTATCTCCACTTATATATCCCATAAGCATCTCCATTTCAATGAATCCTAAATTAAACAGCTTTTTTCTCCCTTCTCTCCCCATCACCAAAGGTACTTGTCCTTTTTGATTCTGTTTTTTTTTTTAATCATTCATTTAGCCAAATACCCCAAACAGAAATCTAAATATCATCCTTGAATCCTTTCTGACCCTTCCCTCTACGTCCAATTAGTCACTAAGTTTTGTCATTTGACCTTTGAAAAATATCTTCATCCAGTTTTCTCCATCCTCACAGTCACTACCTTAATTCGGGCCTTTTTCCAATATTCTAGCAACCTTCTAAGTGGCTTTCCTGATTCCTCTCCTGTTCTCCTCTAATTCATTTTCTATTAAAACAGCAAGAATAATTTACCTATAATGCTAACTTCATTTTGTCATCGGTTTGCCTAAAACTTTTCCTTGACTCCCCATTGCCCTCAGTGGCCTTTCATGATACGGCCTCTATTTTTCTCCCTAACTTCATTCATCCCTTGCTATTTCTCTTTCCCCTTGCCCAGCCTCCTGCTCCCAACACATAATTTACGCTTTCTAAATTGTATCCAGATTCCATCTACTTCCATCACGTTGGGCACATGCTTCCCCTAGAGGGCAGGAACTGTTTTCTATTCTTTGTGTCCACAGTAGAGAGCTAGCATCTAGGAAGTGCTCAATAAATATTTAATGAATGAATGACCTCTGGATTTCACACAACAAGTACATAACCATCTCTTTTTTCCTTATATTCAGATTATAATCCAAAGTCGTCTGGATCAGAGTATGGAGGAGAATCAGGACCTAAAGGTATGTCAGGAGGGTACATTTCCCCCTTTGAAAAAAATCAAGAGAATGATACAGTGAAAGTTCAGGAAAGTAATAGGGAGAGGGGAAGGGATGCAGAGTCATGACTCTAGCTGTATCAATATCTGTATTATACCTTTAATTGAAAGATGGCAAAAAGGTAACATCTTTTTAATCTTGGTGATGAGTAATAGGGATCTATGTTATTATTAGTAATTTTTTTCTGTATATTTGAAATGTTTCATCATTTTAAATTTTTAATTAAATATAAAAACTGGATCTATTACCAATATGGTCTTTTTAAATAATTTTCAATAATATATTAGTTTCAGATAAACAACCTATTGTTTCCATAAATATCAAAATCATCATCACAATGGAACCTAGTTAACTAGGATCCACACATAGCTACAAAATTTTTTTCTTGTGACGAGATCTTTTAAGGTCTACTTTCTTAGCAACTTTCAAATATACAATGCAATATTATTAAAGATAGTCCAGTATCTTTTTTAATGAATACTTCTCAGAATTCTTATAGGTCAGTGAGTCTTAACTTTTTGGGGAGTTATAAGTATATGACTAAAGTCATTAGCCCTCTCCCCAGATATATGCATGAGTGCATGCACACATACTCACTGACTTGAGTTTTTTTAAATTTCTTTTTAAAAATTTTATTTATTTTTAGAGAGGAGAAGGGAAAGAGAAAGAAAGGGAAACATCAATGTGTGGTTGCCCCTTGTGTGCCCCCTACTGTTCTGCAACTCAAACACGTGCCCTGACTGGGAATTGAACTGGTGATCCTTTAGTTTGCGGGCCAGCGCTCAATCCCCTGAGCCACACCAGCCAGGATCTCACTGACTTGACTTTTAATTGGAATAGCTTTAGAGCCCATCTGTGTAGTCCAGGTTAAGCACTCCCATTTTAGATATGTTAATTCCAAACTCTTAATGTGATGCAGTAAGAAGAGAGCGGAGTTTGAGTTATGGGTGTCCCTCTCCTAAAATCTTTTCCCCAATGACAATCGTATATGTATATTTAATGTATTGTAAAGGAGGGTTCATTACTTAGTTTTTCATTGTTGGGCTAAAGTGTGTTTTTGTTTTGTTCATAAAGCACAATACCCTCTTGAAGAATCAGAAGCCGCCTAACCCTTTGTTGAACGTTAAAAACTGAGCTAATCATTTAAGACATTAGGGTAGGCATATTAAGATATGAGTACATATTTCAGTGAGAAGGATTTAGATTATTATGATTAAGTTTTCCTGTTAGTGAAGATTACTAAATATAGCAATGAGGGCCTTTGGGAATGAGTGGTGTCTTCTTTCTTGGCCAGACTCTTCTCTACCTGGGCATAGGCGCCTGGGTGCCACAGGGCACAGCGGAATGGGTCCTGTTCTTGTTTCTACAGGTCAGCGTTTACAGTTGACTGGACCGGACCTGCTCTCTGTCTCAGCAGAGGGTTAATTTTTCGTGGAATGGTTATCTGTATTTTGTGTTCCTACTAACAGAACGAGTAATGCTTCTGAAGCAGCCCAGACGCTACCATCTGATCTATCTATATTTGGTTTGCAGAAGGACTTGCTGAAATGTAAACAAGAAACCAGAAACTTACAGGGGATAAAGGTAAAAAGGAAGACATGTAACTCTTTAAATAAACCCTACAAGACAAAGTAGTCTACTGGTGAGAGTGGGTGACAGGAGGCTAGCTGGGCCCTATAGTCTTTTCTTGTATACCTTTGGTGGGGCTTTCAACAGGCTCTATGCTATTAGTAAAGGAAGGGCTTTGTGAATGGAAAGTGAGACATGTTAAGAATTATACACCTCTCTTTTACTAACTCCTGTCTCTGGGAGTTACGTCTCCTGGTGCTATCACTTCCCTCTGTACCACTTTGTTTTATATGTAAAAACAATCCTTTTTTTTTCAGTTTCAGTTTTTTTTCAGTTTTCTTCAGTTCTAAAGAAGAGTATCATCTTAAAACATTGTAATATACCTAGCTTTTAAGTACTTATTAAAATTCAAATGGTTTAAAGTTTAAAAGGTACAAAAAGATAATCCTTGAAAAGCCTGACTTCTGGCCCTGCCCCTCCTTTCACCTAGTTCTGTTTCCTGGAGGCAACTTATCACTTATCAACAGATATGTATGTATATAATTCCCCCCCCCAAAATAATAGTATACAATAAATAAAGCTTGACACATTGCTTTCTTTCACTTAGCAATTTATCTTGCAGATCATACTATTTCAGTGTATAAAGACCTTCCTCATCCCTTTTATGGCTGCATAGTTTGCTGATATATGTATATATGATTATTTAATTTTCTCCTATTGATGATCCTTTAGGTTATTCCTAATATTTTGCTATCACCAGCACCGATATATCTAATAGCCTTGAATGTATAATAGCCAATAACCTTGAATATATGTTATTTCACCCAAGTGGGAGTACATCTGTTGTGTAAATACCTAGAAGTAGAAAAGGTTGTCGTTTGGCTGCTGCTTTTCTCCTCTTTCCTACACTTCCATTCAGGAACTAGACTGGAATGTAGCAGCACTCTTCAGAGTAGATTTTATAGCCTTAGTCCTACTTCAGAAAACAAATGGGTTCCATGGTCAAATATGTTTGAGAAATGCCCTGTCAACTTGAAGAGTCACAATGAATAGTAACATAATAAAGGACATGAGCGGTTTCTCATAAAGAAGTTGGCCTAAAAAAAGTTTAGAATTATTTACCACAGAAGCGCTTTTTCTCCCATGGAGCACATTTTGGGAAATGTTTCTCTGAACGGCTGGTGCCAGGGACTTCTTAGACTACCTTTGCTATGTCCTTTATGGCAGACAGCATACTTAAGAATGGGCTTCCACATTCTGTAGAGCTCACACCATTTCTCTGCAGTCTTTAAAGAGAGAAAAATCAGGGTAAATATACTGGAATGTAGCTCCAGTCCATAATTCCATTTGAGGTGACTGTGGTTGGAGGAATGTGTTACTGCTGACCCTTTCAAGTAAGTGTGTACAACCTACCTTTTCTTAAGCATGCTTGGAACCAAGAGGGTCCAAGCTGAGAGAAAGATAGCCTAAAGTTGGTAAGATTCTAGGATCCGGAGAAGAGGAACCATTAGTCCAAGAACATTTCTGAGCATGGAAATATATTCCCAGTCCTGTTTCAGATTAGATAGGGAAGCCCCTGGCAGGCACAGGGCTCTGGAAGGCAGGCTGGGAATGACGTCAAGGATTCTATATGAATAGGGTGGCAGGCAGAAGTAGGTCCCAGCCCTGTAGGAAATAAAGTGTTGTCAGAGAGGTAGATGGAGTATTCATATGCCCAAGATATAGCTGAGAAAGTCAGGGTGGGAGGATGGAAAGTGCATTGTCCAAGGTCACTGTCACAGAAGTCGGCGGTAGACTTGGAATGTCAGTATAAGTCTATTTGATCCCCATAACCTCTCCCTAGGACATCATGCTTTCAGGAATGAAGTAGAAGGTAGTGGTGAGTAGGAGGAGGAGAAAAAATCAGGTTATATTCAGCTTGGTAGGACAATGAGTGAGATTTTCCTTTAGATGCTACTGTCCTGGAAGGGGACAGAAAAACCCCCTGCTTATCTCTTCTGGCCAGATCCTTACACTTTTGTCTCAGTTTGCCAAAACTAATGGTGGGTATGCAGTGAGGAGTTTAACAACTTTTAGTAATAACTGGCTGATTGATTCATTGGGACCACAATAGTTAGTATGCTTTTTTCCCCTAGGATGCCTTGCAGCAGAGGTTGACTCAGCAAGACTCATCTGTTCTTCAGCTCAAACAAGAACTACTGAGGGCAAATATGGACAAAGATGAGCTTCACAACCAGAATGTGAGTTACATGAATGAACTCTGACTTAATTGGGCCCCAGTTGCAAAATAGGATACTGCATGAAGTCTTTCTTGTTAGACCTGCTATCCTAATCTCTTAATTTTGGGATGTCTGCTCTCAGTGTCTGCAATTATTTCATTCCCTGTCCGACTTGTCTCTTTTGCTACGGGAAAGCCTACAGCTCATTGGCCCTGAGTCCTTCAACTTTGAGGACACTGAGGCTACATTGTGGGTCTACAGTCTATCAGACTAAAGACATGGAGAGCAGCTGTTTTTACCATAGCCATGCCCTCTCTGTGCTTCAGACATGAACTCTGGGTACTGCAGAGCTAGTTCCTGCTGGTGTTGGCAGACACTACCTCCATGCCAATTAATTCTTTTTTGTTCGTCTTGCAGGTGGATCTGCAGAGGAAGCTAGATGAAAGGAACAGACTCTTGGGAGAATATAAAGTAAGAATGAATATCAGTGTGGAAATGATTTCCATCTGATGTTTTATGAACAGTCCATGGTTGCTGTTGTTCAAAGAGCACTTAAGTACTCTACTCTCATCCTTGCTTCCAGCAAGGAAGTTTTTTCTGTGTTTCCTTGATTCACTAACTCTGAGAGTAGACAGCATAGCTAGGAGAAGGAGCACAGAACTAGGAGTGTGGAAACTTCAGTTCTGTCTTAACCTTTATATCTAGCATGGATAGCATGTAGTGGTCCCTCCTCAAGCAGTAGTTCCCTTTCTCCTTACCCTTCCAAGATCCTCCTTATCCTTTGTGTTGTGCAAAGCTGCTGTGGTGTGTAATGTCTCATGGGTGTAGCTTGAGAAAAGAAATGTTCCCCCAAGGCTCTACTTTCCTGAGATGGAAATTGCATTGCAAAAGGTGAACTGTTTGACGTGTTTGACTTTGCTGCAAATCGGAAAGCTCTCTCTCTATTGCAGAAAGAGCTGGGGCAGAAGGATCGTCTCCTTCAGCAGCATCAGGCCAAGTTGGAAGAAGCACTCCAGAAACTTTCTGAGGCCAGCAGCCAGCAGGTGGGAACGTTTTCAGCCACTGACTTTCCTGCCCCTGTGGCCTGAAGAAATCCTGTTCTGATTTCGTCTCTGGTTTGCAGGTGGATCTAGAGCGGGAGCTAGAACACAAAGATGTCCTTTTGGCTCACTGTATGAACAGAGAGGCAGAGGAGGTAACCTCCAACTCGGGATCTTCCTCCTGCACTTACTAGGGCAAAGAGGGAGATTCTGTTTCTGACTCAGGGCTGAACCAAGGCCACAGGTTGGTTTGGTAGGAGACTCTTTGCTGAGAGTGTTAGGAATGCAGATTTCAGGGTAAGATAATCTGGTTTCAGGTTCCATCTTTACCACCTTTGACCATTGTGTGGTCTTAATTTGATTAGCTTCTGAATGTTAGAAATAAGGCTCATCTGGAAAATGGAAATAATAGTGGTCCTCTCTGCCATTGTGAGGAATACATGAGATAATCCAGGTAAATAACTAAACACAGTCCTGGTACATCTACCCAGCACAGAATCAGTCTCAAGAAATGTTAGTTATTGTACTTTTTTTTTTAATTATTGAAGCAAAGGCCAGAGGTGCTGAAACAGCATTCTCAGGCCCTTCAGTGACCAGGCAGAGGCTATGTTGGGGGCCTCTGGGCTGAGGTTTCTGTTTTGTTCATTCTACATTCAACAGTTCTTACCAACTGTCAAGTGCTGGGGATAGAGCAGGGAGCAAAAGGGAAAAAAGATTTCTGCACTCGTGAGGCTTACATTATGACAGAGACATGAAACAAATGCATAATTATAAACTATGTTAGGAAGTGATAAATGTAAAGAAGGAAAACAAGACAGGATATCTTGGTTTGGAATTCTCTCATAATATAAACACAATTTCTTCTTGCTGCTATAGGTGACCAACTGTAACAGTCACAACTTTCACAGCAATGGTTTTCTCCCTCCAGTGGCAGGAAAAGGAGCTGCTTCAATTACTCACAGAGAGGTACGTTCTTAAGATTTGAGTACAGACCTGCCACTTCAGCTAAAACCAGAAGAGTGCCTTAGCCATCGCTGTGGACTAGGTGATGGTCCCTAAATCTTCTATATCCCAGTTCCCTAATTCTTGCATCTGATTGGTATGTGAAGATGTGAGGTACTTGTTAACCAAAATTAAGAATTAGTGGGCACAAGTAGGTCCACTTCTGTAGAGGAAAATTTCCTGTAGTTCATACCTCCTTCCTGAAAAATAAAAGATCTATCCTGAAAGCCTCTCCCCTGTGTTTTCTTAAGCCCAGTGGTTGGGATATAGTTAATAATATGACACTGCAGCATGCCAACAGCACCTCACATTTGCCCCCAGACCAGCGACCTGCAGCTTGTGCGAGACGCCCTCCGCAGCCTGCGCAACAGCTTCAGTGGCCATGACCCTCAACACCACACCATTGACAGCTTGGAGCAGGGCATCTCCAGCCTCATGGAGCGCCTGCATGTCATGGAGACACAGAAGAAGCAAGAAAGAAGGGTAATCTTCTTTCTATGGTGTTTCTCTTAGGCAAGCTCCCAAAGAAGCTTGATTTTATCAATTTAAATTTAGGTGAAGGCAGCACTAAAAGATGTGACCCTGCTGAAGGTTACAGTTGCTTTTTTCCTTTAGTTTTCCTCTGAGCAGAGCTGACTCTTGATCATGGTATGACAGTGCAGGGAGAGGGTTCATGATAACTCTTGCTCCCAGCAACTGTTTGTCTAAAGAATTGTGGTGCTTGAACCCACAGGACTCTCTTTAATGTTTATCCTCCTAGCCCTTCTCCCCAAATGAGCTCATGTTAGATGAGGAAAGACATGGGAAAATGCATTGAAAACTAGAAAGCCTTTTATAAATGTGTCCCGTTTTATATACTGTGGAAGAAAACGTGGTAGAAAGAGTATATTTTAGGTACACTTTTTTTATTTAAATTTCTTGGCTAAGTTCTCCCTTTAATCATAACTCTTGTGATTTTTGTGTGTCTCTCCAGGTTCGGGGCAAGTCACCCAGAACTCAAGCAGGTAGTGAATACCAGGAGTCCTGGCCTCCTAATTCAAGTAAGTGCTCTATTGCTCAGCATGACCTCCTGCTATATTAAATCAGAAATTTAGTATTTCTCCTGCTTCTAAATGTTTTGCAGATAGGATTTTCTTTTAGTACTTCACTCTTATAATACGTTGTTTGTGTAGCAACACTAGAATTGAGTTATTTCTAGGACTATGAAGATGCCATCATCATCACCTCTATCACTCCAAGTACCATTTATTTAACCATGTGCAGTACGCTGTTAACTCAGGGAGACTAAAATATCTTTGGGAAAATATACAAGCTCAAAACATTTACACTGAACAAAACAAAATATAAAACAACAAAAACACACATAAATCATCGTACAACCCAAATAGCACAGAAAATTTCCAGTTCTTCCTAGAGGCAAGACATTTGATTTCTTTGGGGATTTTCCTTACACTTGGAGTGCCTAGGTCATGCAGTTTAGAGCCTGCAAAATCGTTATGCTTTCTAGTGGTCATAGCTAGTAAGTATTTAACCTTCTCTATACCTACTCATTTCATTTTTTTTCCCCTATTCATTCCAACATGTCAGAAATCTACCCTTATTGATAATTTCTGTTTTACTCTGTCTTACTTTTTGGTTTAATAAAGTTCAAATAAAGTTGTTAGTACCAAAATTATTTTTTTCAGCATTGTTTTGAAATAGTCATTTCTGTTTTCTTGAAATGCTATTTATTACACTTTTTTTTTAACCTCTTTTCCTTTCTTGTACTTTCTTTAGTTTAGTATAAACTGCCAGTGAAGATGTCTAAATATTTGGAAATTCTTTTTCAAAAGTCTGATAAATAAACTTCTCCCCTGGAAAAATTATTTTGTGTATAGTAAGTACTTATTCAAAATACTACAAATAATTTCACAGCCACTTATAAACTATGGTATTAATTTCGTATTCATATTCACAAATTAGTTGATATGTCTCTCATTGGAAAATATAAAAACTTGTGTAACATGCTAGCCATCTAATGACTGACTTTATCTTTTTTCTCCACATCACACTTTTTGAAGAATAGTCTATACTTGTCCTTTCCTCATCTTTATTTCCCATTCACTACTCTAGCAGCTAGTCGGACTTTTACCAAGTTACTCAACTTAGTGTTCTTTTTGTTACATCAATGCTGACTTTAAAAGACTAGAGTTGTCAAGTTGGATGAAAAAATAAGATTCAACTACCTTTTTTTTAGAAGATACCCATTTTAAATATAATAATATAAGTAGGGTAAAAGTAAAAGGATAGAAAATGACATATCATGGAAACAACTCCTATCAAAAGGTGTGGCTATGTTAGTGTCAGATAAAATATACAAGGAATGTTTACAAGTATAGAGACCTAATAAAATGATAAAGAGATCAATTCACCAAGAAGACATAGTACTTGTACGTGTGTTTCTAATATATAGCTTTAAAATACATGAAGTAAAAATTGATAGAAAATTTTTGCAGTTGGAGACTGTAATACTCTTTTTGCAGTGATCAATAATACTAGTGAAGAGAATATCAAATAAAGATACATAAAACCTGGAAAACACTATCAATCAGCTCTTTTGACTGACATTTAGAGAACATTCTATCCAGTGACAGTGGAGTTCATATTCTTTTTAAGTATATTTGGAACCTTCACTGAGATGGCCCATGTTTTTACCATAAGACAAAACTCTAAAAAGTTAAAAGCATTGAAATTATATAAAGTGTTCTCTGACCATTATGGAGTTAAATTAGAGATCAATAACAGAAAAATATCTGGAATATCCTCAAATATTTAGAATTGAACAACATACTTCTCAATAACTTATGGGTCAAAGAGGAATTTCCTTTATAAAGGAAATTATAAAATATTTTGAATTGAACAAAAAAATGAAAATTATATAGATATTCATGGGATGCAGCCAAAGCAGTGCTTAGTAGTTAAGAGGGAAATTCATAGCATTAAATACATTAGAAAAGAGGAAAAGTCTCCAATCAGTGATCACCTAGAAGATCTAAACTTTGACCTTAGGAAAAAGGTCAAAGACGTGAAAAAGAAGAATAAGTTAAACTGAAAGGAAGCAGAAGAAAGGAACTAATAAATTTAAGGATAGAAATCAATGACATTGAAAACAAAAACTGAGAATAAAATCAATCAGATGAAAAACTGGGTCTTTGAAAAGTATAATAAAATGAATAAATCTGTAGCCAGACTGCCCTAGAAAAATAAAAGAGGAAAGATACAAGTTACTATTAGAAAAGAAAGAGAACATCACTCTAGATCTTATTAAATGCATATTTAAGGAACAAACAACTTTATGCTCATAAATTTGACAACGTTGATGACATGTACAAATTCCCAGAAAGACACAAACTACCAAAACTTACTCATGAGGACTTTGATGAGATGAATAGATGTATAGTTGTAAAACTAAATTTGTAGTTTAAAATGTTCCACCCATCAAAGAAAACTCCAGAATTAGATGGGTTCACATAAGAAAGAAATAATACCAATTTTATGCAAATTCTTCCAGAAAATAGAAGAGGAAGGAACACTTTTCTAACACATTTTATTTTACCCTGAATCCAAAATCTATCTTTAATGAATGTAGGTGCAAGAAAAAGAAAGAAAAGGCATAGAGATTGGAAAAAGAAGATGCAAAACTACCTGTATTTGTAGATGACATGATTGTCTATGTAGCGTATCTCAAAGAATCTATAATAAAGTTACTATTGCTAAGAAGTGAGTTTAGCAAGGTAACAGGACACATGGTCATTATACAAAAAGTCAGTTGTACTTCTATATACTAGCAATGAATCTTTGGAAATATAAAAATAAATCTTACAGTACCATTTATAGGAGAACCAGAAAACATTAAATATATAGGTATGAACCTTACAAAATACATGCGATATTTCTATGCTGAAAACTATAGAACACAGATAAAATAAATCAAAGAACATCTAAAGAAATGAGAAGATAGACCATGTTTGTTAATCAGAGTATTCAATGTTGTTAAGATGGTCCATTCTCTCCAAATGATCTATAACTTCAATCAGATTTCAGTAAAAATCCTACCAGACTTTTTGTAGATATAAACAAGCTGATTATAAAATTTATATGGAATAAAAGGACTGGAATAAGTATAAAAAAAAAGTTGAGAAAGGTGAACAAAGTAGTTGGATGACCACACTATCTGATTTCAAAACTAACTAAAAAGTTAGTGCAGTATAGGTGATTGGATAGACACATAGATTAGTGGAACAAAATAGTTCAGAAACAGACTACATGTTTTTGGCCATTTGATTTTCAAAAACTAGAAATTCTATTCAATGGCAAAAGGAATGAAAGTTTGAGTATCCAATCAGGAAAAAAAAAGGCAAAAGGACAGGCTTTTCAACAAACGATTTTGGAACAATTGAATACCATATAAGAAGTCTTAATCCATACCTCATACCATATATAAAAATTAACTCCAAATGATCGTAAACCTAAACTTAAACTGATTTGTGATACCTTTTAAATTTATGTATTAAACTTACACACACACACACACACACACACACACACACACACACACAGATATGTTTCTGGGTCATTCTCTTTTTTTGTACATGCCTTTTATAATAATGTTACACTGAAGTAACAGTTACCATTTTATCATGATTTGATGTGTAAGATTTGTTCTCCCTCATTGCCCTCTTTTTCACTAGAAAAGTCTATATAATCCAACTCAATCTTCTTTACTAATCAACTGAAACTACTCTCACTAATGTCATTGATGACCTATTTATAATACTAAATCTGCCTTTATTTGCTAGACCTCTGTGTGGCATTTGACATCATGGTTACTCTTTCCTTGAAATTCACCCGGAATGTGCACATAACATTTCTATTAGTCAGCTTGGGCTGCCATAACAAAATACTGAATGAATGAGTGACTTAAACAACAGAAATTTATTTTCTCACAGTTCTGGAGACTGTAAGTCCCAAAATCTTGAGTGCCAGCATGGTCAGGTTTTAGTGAGGAAGGGCTCTCTTCCTGGCTTACAGATGGCTGCCTTTTTCCTGTATCCTCACATAGTGGGGAGAGAGCTCAGATGTCTGCTCCTCTTCTTATAAAGGCACCAGTTCTATGGGGTCAGGGTTCTACTCTTATGACCTCACTTAACTTTAATTGCTACTTAAAGGCCCTGTCTGTCATACAGTCACACTAGGGTTTGAGGCTTCAACGTATGAATTTTGGAAGGACAGAATTCAGTACATCATAATATTATCATCACATTTTAGTATATTGTAGCTGTTTCACTGTTTTACCCCCATTAGGTTTTGAGTTCTTTAAGGATGGGGATTATATGTAATTCATTTTTGCATCTCTAGTATCTGATACATAATAGGCAGCCAGTAAACATTTTAAAGGATGACATAACTCATTTCTGTATTCCTGTCTTAGTTAATAGTACTACCATGCATCTTTTTGTTCCAGACTGTAAATCTAGTTATTTTTTACTTCCCTTGTATCCCCAACATTCAACTATCTCCCAAGGACCAAGACTTTTACTTTCTAAAGATCCCTCAAATCCATTCCTTCTTTGGCTCCACAACTACATTTTGCCCTTCCTCATCTTTTAGGTTTTTTAAAAAATTGTATTTTATTGTTTATGCTATTACAGTTGGCCCAAATTTTCCCCCTTTGTCCCACTCCCTCAGGCAATTCCCAAACCATTGTCCATGTTCATGGCTCCTGCGTACATGCTCTTTGGATACTCTATTACCTATGCTGTACTTTACATCCACATGACTATTCTATAGCTACCAATTTGTATTTCTTAATCCCTTCACCTTTTTCACCCATCCCCCTGACCCCTCTACTATCTGGAAACCACTAAAACATTCTCTGTATCTATGATTTTGTTTCTGTTCTGCTTGTTTGGTTATTTTTTAGATTCAATTGTTGATACATGTATTTATTGCCATTTTATTGTTCATATTTTTTATCTTTTTTAAGATTTTATTTATTTTTAGAGAGGGGATGAGAGAGAGAAAGGGAGAGAAAAATCAATGTGTGGTTGCCTCTCGGTTACCTAGGGACCTGGCCCGCAACCCAGGAATGTGCCTGAGTGGGAATTGAACCAGCCACCCTTTGGGTTGCAGGCTGGCACCCAATCCATTGAGCCACACTGGCCAGGGCTGATCTTCTTTTTAAAGAAGACCCTTTAACATTTCATATAATACTGGTTTGGTGATGATGAACTTCTTTAGCCTTCTCTTGTCTGAGTTCTTTATCTGTCCTTCAATTCTAAATGATAGCTTTGCTGGGTAGAGTAATCTTGGTTGTAGGTCCTTGCTTTTCATCACTTTGAATTTCTTGCCATTTCCTTCTAGCCTGCAAAGTTTCTTTTGAGAAGTCAGCTGATAGTCTTATGGGGGCTCCCTTATAGGTAACTAGCTGCTTTTCTCTTGCTGCTTTTAAGATTCTCTCTTTGTATTTAATTTTTGGCATTTTAATTATGATGTGTTTTTGAGTGGGTGTCTTTGGGTTAATCTTGTTTGGAACTTTTCTGCGCTTCCTGGACTTGTATGTCCATTTCCTTCACCAAGTTAAGGATTTTCTTTCTGTCATTTTTTCAAATAGGTTTCCAGTTTCTTGCTCTTTCTCTTCTCCTTCCAGAACCCTATGATGTGAATGTCGGTATGCATGAAGTCGTCCCAGAGGCTCCTTACAGTATCCTCATTTTTTTGGATTCTTTTTTCTTCTTGCTGTTATGATTGGTTGTTTTTGCTTCCTTATGTTCCAAAATGCTGGTTTGATTTTGGACATCATTTACTCTACTGTTGATTCCCTGTAAATTGTTCTTTATTTCAATTAGTGTATCCTTTATTTCTGACTGGTCATTTTTTATGCTGTTGAGGTCCTTACTAAGTTCCTTGTGCATTCTTATAATCATTGTTTTGAACTTTGCATCTGATAGATTGCGTTTCTCCATTTTCTTTAGTTCTTTTTCTGGAGTTTTGTTCTGTTCTTTCATTTGAGCCTTGTTTCTTTGTCTCCTCATTTTGGTAACCTCCCTGTGTTTGTTTCTGTGTATTAGGTAGAGCTACTACATCTCCCAGGCTTGATAGAGTGGCTTAATGTCGTAGGTGTCCTGTAGCATCTATTATACAGTCTGGGTACTCAACGTGTGCCCACTGTGTGGGCTGTATACACCTTCCTCTTGTAGTTGAGCCTTGATTGCTGTTGGCACATCCAAGGTCAGCCACCACCTATGTTCTGTCCAAGGTCACACAGCACTAGTTATGAAATGATATACAGATGCCTGCTACTTGTGCTGGGCTTGGAGGTGCCCAGAAGAGGCCAAGCTGTGAACCAAGGCTGTCTGCTGCTAGTGCCGTGCCTGGGGCAACTTAGGAAGAGGTACGGGGCTCCCTGAAGCCAGATGCTGCTTGTTCGAAAGAATTGAGAAAAACTTGAAGCATGGGCCAAAACAAGCCATTCATTCCAAGCCTCTGGAAATGACTTGGGCGAGTTTGAAGGTTGGGTGGGGCAGGGACTTAGAATGACCAGGGTGACAAACAGTGCTAGCCAGGTTGATGGAGTTTCAGATATGGCACCTGCCTGTTGGCTCTGTGTGCGGGAGGGCTCAGAAAAGGAACAATCCGTCTGGGATTGTGTCTCCATATCTGTCATTCACACTAGATCCGTCAGCAGTCCGTCTGGGAGAAAGATGCCCTCCCCCCAAGCTCTCGCCCTGAGGCTGGACAGTTCAGTTCCTCCACCTATGTCTCTGATGCCTTTCAATCTGCTGCTCTGGCACTGGAGCTCAGCGGGAGTGAGTCTGAATAAGTCTGTGCTTAGGCCCTTTAAGAGGAACTGCCTAGGATTCCAGCAGTTTCAATCTTTCACAGCCTCAATCGCCACTGGTTTTTACAGCCAAAAGTTATGGAGGCTTACTTTTCTGGCACTGGAAGCCTGGGCAGGGGGTCCTGGTGTGGGGCTGGGATCCTTCTCTCCTTAGATGTCCCTCCCAATTTTCATCTGCCACATGTGAGTATGGGACCAGCCCACTCTGCATCTCTGCCCCTCCTACCAGTCTTAATGTTGTTTTTTCTTTAATTCTGTAGTTGTAGGACTTCCATTCAGCTCAATTTCTGATGGCTCTGACTGATGATCATTCCATGGTTTCATTATAATTTTGATGTGGTTGTGTGTGTGAGGAGGTGAGCTGAGTTTATCTACACGGCCATCTTGACCAGAAGTCCGGCCTCAAATTTTTTTTTGTTGCCTGTTAATGGGATTACTGGTTTCCAGAATTTCTCCCATCCAACTCATACTATACTTTGCTGCTTGATTAGCCTTTCTAAAATGCTAGTCTGGTTGTATCATTCCCTTTTAGTATCTCCCCAGAGCTTAAGACTAGTGTCTAAATGTCTTAGGCTGGCAGAGTCCTTGCGATCTATCCCCTGCCTATTTTATTATCTTCATCTTCCACAACTTCCCAATGTATTCCTTGTGCTCCAGCATTACTAATTAACTTGTAGTGTCATAAATACTAATAACATTTCATACATTTACAGTTATCGTCCCTCTGGGAATGTCCTTTCCAACTTTTCTATATGATTATTTTTCCAAGTGCCTTGTTTAAGGATTCTTCAACCATGGGGCCTTCTGTCCTCTTCCAGGTGGAATTAACCACTCTATCTCCAGTCTTCCTGTACAGTTTGCACAAATCTGTTATTAGTGTGTTGTAATTACTTATATCCATATGTGTCATTCACACTAGACCGGAAACTCTTTGAGGCCACATGTGGTTGATTTTATGTTCTCAAAATCTAGCACCTGGTAAGTGTACAATAAATGTTGAATGAATGAATGAATCAATCAATCATAAAAGTTAATGATTAAAGTGAACATTTTATTTTATTAAATAGCCACTGTGCGCCAGGCATTCACTGTTCTAGATGCTGGAGTCAAAGGAGCAGCATGGCATGTAGGTTTCAATAATTGGCATTCTTTGAAGAAAAATTCTGAAAACTGACTGTTCCCTTGCCTTTCTTCCCTTGTATTAATTCATTCCTCATACTCTCCTTTGTTTTAAACCCCTTCCTAAAAATGTTGTCTTGTGGCTGCCAGTTTGATTGGTATCAATGTCTAGAAAAAGTTAAGAAGAAAATATATGTAGATGGAATTGCAGGACAGATATTAATGAAACTTTAATTTTTATTTATTTACTTTTTTGGGTTTTTATGATACAAGTTTCTGACTGGTCTTTTCTCCTATTCTTGTAAATTCATAACCAAAGTACTCATTAATAAAATTTTCCATAAGTACCTATACAAAGAGTAAAGACAAGACGTGATCAAGAGACCTGAGTTAGAAACCATAACATACGGAGCCTCAGTAGCTAACAGATTAGGCAGGTCTTGTATCTTACATCTGGAAGCATGAGGCCCCTTGACAACTGAGTTTTTAGGGTTACTTTGCTCCAATAGTTCTTATTCTTCTTTCATTCCTCTTTTCATGAATTGCATGAGCATTCTCTATCATTGACCTCCAAAATTTAAATGTTGGCAGTGTCCTGCAGCTTCTGTTATGTGTCCACTTCTATCTTAGCTGAAATGTTGCTCGATTTCTCTGATCTCTTTTGACTTCCAGCAACAATGCCTGTGAGAACAGTTGCTATTTCCCTGCTTGAAATACGTGGAAGGGGTAAGAAATGGTCCTTGTAATAGTGTCCATGTCATTAGCTCTTCTTGTCTTTTTGGCCCCAGTGGTGACTTCTCATGGGTCACACCCTATGGACTTGGTATTTGGCAAGGGTGTGAAAGCTGTACTGTGACCTCAAACAGCTTCATCCTTCAGAGACATTTTGAATAACTGGAAATGAGGGGTGGTTGTAAGCAAGTTGAATGGCCTGACCACAAAGTCTCCCTGTGATTGCAGAGTTGCCGCACTCACAGAGCTCTCCAACTGTGAGCAGCACATGCACTAAAGTGCTGTATTTCACTGACCGGTCACTTACACCTTTCATGGTCAATATACCAAAGAGGTAAGGTTCTTGGCTCTATTTCTCTTTTAAAATGGACAGGAAGGCAAAATTATTAGTTACTGAGCATCTATCTAACCAGCTAAGAGGTGCTGAGAAGCTGTATGGTGTAGTGAGAAGAACATAGGAGGTGGAGATTCTAGCTTCAGTTTTACCAGTGGCATTACAAGGGCCAAGTCATGATCTCCTTCTAGGCACAGACACAACAGTGTTTCCAATCCTGATATGCAAATTGCTTCAAGTTAGGAAAAGTAGTTTTTTAAGTGCTCAAAATAGCTCCTGCTGATAGCCATGGATTGCTATTACTCATTGATCTTTGTTACTATTTGATGACTACAACTAAGCTATTAAGATTCATGTTAGAACCCTTCAAACACTGGGCTAATCTACTCCCTTCTAAGGTAAATGGCTCTGAAATAAGATATTTAAACCATAAAACCAAGTACTGAGAAAGGTGACAGGATTTCCATTTCTGAGAGAGTCTGCTTACTTGGTCTGGAAGAAGGGAGCTTTCCAAAGCTAGAAGGATAAAGATGGTGATACTGGATTTAATTCTACCAGCCTAGAGAAATAAAATGTTGCAAAGAAGGAAATCAAGAGAATTTAGACACATTGGTTCAACAAGTTAGATTTCAGAGACCTGATGTCTTATTTCCAGAGGGGGGAATACAGGGATTTGGCTGAATAAATGTTATTTTAAATTCTCAGATCACCTCATATGTAACGCCATTTTTATTTCTTAATGGTGACTGGCTCCCTAAGCTCTGCTGTTTTACAATTATATGGGTTATCAGGGGCAGTGACCTAAAAAGGCCACGCTATTTCTGTCTCAGGAGACATAGGCAAGGGCCTAGGTTTAAAGCTAACACCTTATTTGTCCAACCTATTGATAAACAGTCTGTTTTAGAGCTCTCTCTGTTTGTTGAAGGTTGGGGGAGGTGACACTGAAGGATTTTAAAGCAGCTATTGACCGGGATGGGAATCACCGGTATCACTTCAAAGCACTGGATCCTGAGTTTGGCACTGTCAAAGAGGAGGTACAGTATCCCTGGGGAGTCTGGATGGTATTATTGATTCCTGAACCCCAAAGTCTCCTTCTCAAGGGCTAGTTCCCAGAAGTACCTGAGTTCCCTAACCCATTCAGAGGAGCTTTCCAGAACCTCAGACCAGTCTGATTACTGTAGACTAAGAAGGACAGGGAATGGCTGAAGAAGTTGATAGCTTCTTTAGTTCAAGGACTTAATCACTTTGACCAAATTTGTATCGAATTTTTATTTTAAAAAGGGAAAAGTTTTGTTAGGAAAAATAAAGGACCTTCACTTGAACAAAAGTTTGACTTTAGGGTCTCTTTTCTATCTGTAGCCAAATCTTAGAAAACGATCTGCCTCCTATGTAGCACAAAATAAATACATAGGCATAAATGTGGAATTGTATGCTGTAGTGGTAGTTTCTCAGATAATAAAAATGAGGGACTTCTGGAAAGTCATGTGCTTCTGGGTTATGGCATGTTGTAAGTGCTCTCGCTGTTGCTATATAATGAAAGGGGTTGGGAAGAGCATATTTTATTTTGTAAAGAGTTCCTCACTGAAATGTTTTAATAACCCTGTTCTATTAGTGGCTTAGCAAATGAATTGAATGAATGAATGAAAAGAAGTGCATGAAAACATATTAAGATTGGTCTTTCTAACCTTTTCTTCACAATGCCCAGGACCAAGATTTTCCCCATTCTTGTTGTTTTAATGTTTATACTACTGCTTTCTCCTAAGAAGTCCAAAGTGCTCTATGTTAGTCATTTATTCATCCTTATATATCTCTATAAGCAAAGCAGTGTTTGAGATGCTCTTACCATTTCAGAGATGTAGAACTAAGAGTATGTAAATGAATATATATAATTTTTACCAGTTAAAACTTTAGGGACAAAACCAAAGGGACATAGCTCTCCAGCTCTCTAACACAAAGCTTTCCTCTACACTTTCTTAGCCTTTATGCTTGTGGTCTTGTTTTTTTCAGCAGCAGTTAGTTATTTGGTGAGACTCCCTCATCTTCCTGTTTTTTCTATATGGCTTTTTTTCTTTCTCTAGGTTTTCCATGATGATGATGCCATCCCTGGATGGGAAGGGAAAATTGTAGCCTGGGTGGAAGAAGACCATGGAGAGAATTAATGCTGAATATAAGATTGGGGCTTGTGGAACTTGGCACTCCCTGACTGTTTCACTCAGGAAAAGAGGACTAAAACTAGATTACACTAAGAAGTTTCTAATTTGTGCTGACAATATAGAAGCTTCTCCAAATGTGACAGCCACAGGTCAGTCCTGTTTCTGTGCCTGGAGTATGTGGTACTGAAAATCCCTGTCCAAATGTAGACCACGAATTCATCCGGACTTCCCTATCCATGGGAACACAGTGTTTTATTCTATTCTGAGGACAACAAACCGAAGGCCTTAACCAATAGGAATGGATGATCTTGCTCCTGTAGGGGCATGGCTGCTATTATCTGGAACCTAGGAATTGGATGCGTCACTCCTATGTGTTAGTGTTATTTTAATTGGCCTCAGTGGTTACAGCAATTGTACTCATAGACAAGGTAAAGATACCAGCTTTTTTGCTTCTTTGAAGCTATTACAAACCAAGAATAACTCATGGGGTGGTACCAAAGATGAAAGCCACTCCTTAGGAATCTTCTGGACTGGACATGGATGGTGCTGAATTGTTGATTAGGTGAAAAAGGGCTGCCCATGTTGTGCTACATTGTGCTAAAATCATAATTAAGACCTTGGGCTGCCTCTTGCGTCTTAACTGGTTCTGCAACTTGTCTTTTAGCCCACAGAGGGCATACTCCATGCACTGCTAGTTCTCTCTGGGGACTCAACTTTAGAGCCATTTTCTTCCTTCCATCTGATGAACTTTGTATTTGAAAGGAATAAGGAGTGAAAGTCTCCTTAAAAATCCAGGCGGGTATGGAAAGGTGCTGCTACCCATATCTTCTTGACTTTCTTTTTCTCATGACTTTTTTTTAGCTCATGGCATCTCCTTTGTAGTCAAAGGGAGACAGACTTTCAGTAATTTCAGTATTTGTGGTTTATGAAGTATTGAGCATGAGTTACTGGTCTGCCCAACTTCATTTCAAGGCCAGAGTTATTTTCTGTTACGTAGTTAGTCTAGGTTGATCCTTTAGGGCACAATAGAAACCATGGGGGCATGGAGCATGAGTTGTAAATGGCAGGGTTGATTCTGGGTGAAAAAACCTAGAATCCTTTCTCATGTGCAACATTGTCAAGTGTAGAAGCTAAAAGAAAATTGCTAAATTTCTAGGGATTACTTAATAACTTGGGTTTTCTCACTCATTCATCGAAACCTCTCAACCAATCAGCCATTTCCCTCCAGGGAGGGAAATTTTTTGCCTCCCAAAAGCAGTCTGCCTGTGACCACCAATGTACACTGCCAACCAGAAAAGTCGGACAGATCAGTTCTGGGTTCTTGACCTGTCTGTCTCTAGTCCATCTACCCTTTTCAGCATTTCAGTAGACTACATTTGGAACTGGGATGACATTGTGTTGTTTTATATAGATGTGTGTTTTTAAAATTGTTCATGTTTGGAGAATTCTTTTGTACTCATTTGCTTTTTTTGTCTGAGAACCATGTCTATTTTTATAACTTGAGTGTGAGTTCTGTATATTCTCACATTCTGTATACAGTATCCATTTTCCGGAGAACCCAGTAGCTTTTATACAGGCTCTTCTCTTCTTATCATATCAGCCCTTATGGTTTCAGAATAAGCTTTATTTTATTACAAGCATACTAATGATAACTAACTCCTGTTCCAGTTTCACCTGCCATTTTAGTTGTGGAGGTAGTTTTATATAATCTATTTGATTGCTCCTCTAGCAGACAGGAGCTAAAAAGACACCTGATGTCTTTCATGTAAGTTTACCTGGTCATTCTACTGAAGAATGATTTCTCATCAGAAATGACTGTAAAAGTTTGGGAAAGCCAGTCAAAAGCAAGAATAATTCATTATGAAAACAAACAGAAGAAAACAGTATATTCTCAGTTTCTTTTTTGCAGGAGGCCTGGAGGAAAAGTCCTCATGTCACTAATTTGTCTGTTGCATGAATTTTAGTGTTTTGCTATAAGACAGCATGAGGATTATCAAGCCAAATTCATTATTGTATTTCCAGTACAATTTATGTTGAGTGTCTGTCTCTTAATACAGTTTGTACTTGTCAGTTTTCTTTCAGCAAGCATTCTTAGCATCATGTAGAATTTACCTTTTAAGAGAAAATTAAATCAGAGAAAAATTTCAAAGTCCTCAGCCTCGTTGTCTTTTATCTCTACATCCTTTGGAAAAGGAGCTGTGTGGCCTTAGTGCCTCCACAGAAAGCTGAAGTTGAGTTCGGGGAAGAAAATGAAATAGTTTTTTCCCCTTTAGCTCATTAATTTCATATGCCAGGGGTAATAAGCTCCCCCATTACAGGATATCACCCCAACAATTCTTGTGTAAAATGTGTTGATAATCTTCATTCCCGTTTCTAAAGACAGAGAAACCTTCTGGAGAGGAGTGTGCATTGATTCATTCTGGTTTGAATAGTCTTCTAGTGGATACACGGTGGTTGCACTCTAAGAGTCCTGTTGACTTAGACTATTGTTCACTAGTGGCTTTTGTGTGGGACAGTCCATCCTGCCACTGCTGAAGTTCTCTTTCTTTGAGAAAACTAAGGAACTAGAATGTTTATAGAGTTCATAAAATAAGCTCCAAACTCTGTGAGATTAAAAAAAAAAAACAAACCCTCTTATAAAAACTAATTTAGTAGAGAGCTCAATTCCTTTAAAAGCCTTCATGCTGTACTTAGTTCCCTAAATTAGCTGGAATTGGAACACTTTACAATTTGTACCTTAAGAATATTGTTAAACTTACTTGGAAATGGCAGTCCTACCTACTGTCCAACTTTTCAGCCCTTTTTTTGACCAGGATGGTTATAAATTGGGGGAGATATCTTGTAATCTACACCCAATCCAAGAGGACTCTAATCACTTAAAAGCATTTAGGTCATAATTTTTTTTCTATAAAATAAACATTATGATTGCATACTCCTATTGTCTGAATTTATGTTAGAGGTATAGCTTGCTTAAAATATATATGTACAGTTATATTTTCTTAGGAATATGGATGTTTGCAACCATTGCTTTCAAAAAGATTATTACTATGTATTCCCTCAGTCTTTCAATGTTTTCATAAAGACTGTGTTATACCAGAGGCTTCTGATTATCAAAGTGGTAAACAGTTTTAATGGCCTGTATATACCAGATCTGTAAACTGATTAAAAAAAATAAAACAGAATTTGCAAACTAATTGCTGTTAGTCATTTTCACTTGTGTTTATCAACTGAAATTAATCAATAAAGCAATTTACATTTAGTGAAAGTAAATTTCCTCTAGTGGTCTCCCTGGTAGCATGTTTATTCATTACTTGGAGAATGGAGATAAGGACTACTTTATTGCTACAGATATTTTACTATTGGTACTTCTAATGTAGGCACAAAATAGGTTATTTATCAAAGAAAATTCATTAGTTTAGCCCTTATTTTGATACCATTCATAAATATGCAACTCAGTAAGAACTCAGGAGTGCAAACTCTTTTAGTTTTTATCTTACTTTTTCTTAAATTCCTTTATCCAGTCTCTTTAGGGGAGCTCAGGTCTCTTCTCTCAGTACTGATCTGATAAACGTTAGAATTACTAGCCTACCTCGGGGTTCAAGATATCATCATCCCTGGACTGTTTGACCTGTGTCCTCCTATGAGTTTGCTACACCTGTTAAAAATATACTCTAAATGCAGACTTGCTATGCACTGAAAAGTGCAAAACAAGGATTAAGCAAGCCTACCAAAGTAAAGTTAACAGCAACCCGAAGATCATCTTCTACAAAGGCTCCAGTAATAGACCTAATTTGCTATTAGGTCCAGTTATTAAACTCAAGAGCAGTGCAACTAGATACTGTAAGCAATTCAAAACTGTTACATTTTTGTAATTTATAGTTATAAGCCCTTTCATTAATCACAATTATTCTTCCACTGATTCTTCCACTTTGTAAGTAGTTTTACATATTTAACAATGTAATTGCTCTACTTACTATTTCAAATGTGTCTTTCCACTTAATCTGGAAATCCTATATTTCTCAAATCTATTGCCTGCATATTATTGTTAGGCAGCAGTACATGCTAAATCTTTTCCTCGTTTTTGTAGTTACCTGTGTTTTTTCCATTATAAAAATACCAAAATCTTTATTCCCTCATTTTCAATGCCTCAAGGATACCAGAATAAGATTTGGGGGCAGGGGAGATAGAAACTTTTTGTGTGTGTTACCTCTTACCAAATTGCATCGCTAAAACAACGAGTATTTAGTGTCCCTAAACCAGATCATCTCTGTCTCTGCAATCTCAAAACCGGATTTTTACTTTTAAAGTTCCTAATTTAAGAAGGTGTGAAATAGTAGCTCCTGGCTGTTTTAATTTTCCAAATGTTAAATTACTAGCAAGGCTGGACATGTTTTCAAGTGTCACATTTTCCTTCTATTTGTTGTTCTTGGCGTTCTCTGACCGTCCGCACACTGGGGACTTAGATATAAATACAGCACTAACTTCCTGCTAATCTAATGTCACCCTCAGCTCAGAAATGAGATATTTTCTAATTATAGGATGACATCTCTACAGTAAAGTGTTCCTAACAAATGTAGAAAACTTTTTGTTAATTCAAAGGACATGTATTCAGCTTCCACTGTTTATCAGATACTAAATTTGGGGGAGTCAAAGAACACTATAAACATGCCTCCTGCTCCACGGGCATATAGTTTAGTTTTACGACAATAATGTATTTCAAGCAAAATAAAGCTTTACGCGATTTAAAAGGATTTAATGGTCTATGAGAAACGCAAATCTGTTCTGTAAACTTGTGTCTTCATACTGGGTATGTGCCTAATCCTGCTACAGCACACCTAGATGCGGGTACGCATCTTTCACTTGGCCGCCCTTGACACGATTTGCCTGGGAAACCCGTTCACTCTGGTTTCCCTTTGGGCTACAAACCTGAAATTAAATCGTTGCAACCCAGCATGGCCTGCGCAGAGCGGGTCAACCTGCAGGGTCAGTCAAGGCAGCGCGCACACCCGGTACTTCTCAGATCTGCCCTCCGACGGTTCCTGCCCCCACCTCTCCCTCCCGCGCGTTCCAAACCCCGCCCCTTGGCCTAAGGTTCTCAGCGCCCAGCGGCCCTCTGACTTTCCTTCAAAATTTGATCACTCTCCTCAGTCCACCTTCCCGCACCACTCTGCGGGTTAGCCGGACTCTCGTGCGCTTTGAGGCCTCTCCGTTTCGGGAGTGCCCTTCATCTCGCTTGGACTCCGTACTGCACCGACGTCCCTCTCCTAAAACTCCACCACCTCCCGCTCCTCTTGACATCTTATTTCTCCCACACTTGCGCCTGCGTTGGCTCCGCCGCAATTCTCCCGCCCTGAGATTCCAAAATAACCACCCTCTCCCACTTCGGATCACCCTCCCTCCCCGGCTCCTCCGCTCCCCGGTTCCCGAACCAGTGTCTTTAAACAACTCTCTTGAGGGGCGGGGGGTGGGGCTAATTTTTGAAGCCCGTTTTACGACACCGTGCGGCTGCGCGGCTTGGCTGACGGCAACGCAGCACTGCTCTTGGAGAGGTCACTCCGGAGACGGCGTTGGTTTGGGGATTTTGGGGGTCGTGATACTATGTGGCGTGTTTGTGCGGGACGGGCCCAGAATGCGGCTCCCAGGGCAGGAGTCGGGGCTCGGTGGACCGCCTTGCGGGAGGAGGCGGGAGTTCGGTGCGTGGCCCTACGGGTTGGTCCAGCTCTGGCTCGTTGCAACAGCGCGACCACTGGGTATTGTAGAGGCCGGGCGCTCTGCGGCTGGCGCCCAAGCTCTTGGGCCACTCCGCGGAATCACTTTCTGCTGCAGCTTTTGGGATCGCCTGGCCGCCGCTGGTACAGTCTCCCCCCGCATCAGAAGGTGAGTCCCAGACCTGTACATCTCAGGACCCCGTTGTCCTTCAGGGTCGACTTCTTGGCCTTGGGTCTTCCCTCAGAGGCGTCGGTGGTCCTCCACCTCCTCATCAGTGTATGTTACTGTCTTTTTTCCAATACCCTGCTTTGTTGTCACTCTTGAGCTTCCCTCTCCTGATCTGTTCCATTGAAAGAAGAGCCCCACACCTGGGGCTCTACGTGGATGTCTGCTAAGGTACATTACTTGCTCTGTCAGATCAACAGGACTGTGGGACAGGAAGCTTGTCACTGGAGAGAGTCTGGTGGCGGGAACTCTCTTTATATCCCCGTATTCCCAGTGCCCAGCGTGTGGTGAGACTCAAACTCTTTGCACTGAATTAAATTGAATGGTATGAAACATTAAACCAAACTGAGAGTTAAGTAGCCCCTTTTAAAATAAGTGTTTCTGTCCTTTTTCTCCTCCAGGTTCCATTGCCCTCTCTTTCCCCCACAATGCAAGCAGGCACCATTGCCCGTTGGGAGAAAAAGGAAGGGGAAAAAATCAATGAGGGTGAACTAATTGCAGAGGTAAGTGGTTTTAAAATATGGAAATAAGTTAGAAAGGACTGAGTTAAACTGAGTATTAACTTTCTGGATGGGTAGTTACCCCTTCCGCTTAAGAAACTTAGATGTTTATTACAACTTGATATTAGAGAAGCTTGGTTAGATAAGTTGTCAGCAGCTAACCGAACTGAATTTTTAGCTGAGGTCTAAAAAAATAATTCCTTCTGTATTGGCTGGGTGACTCTGTTGGTTAAACATCGTCTCATACACTTAAAGGCTGCAGGTTCGTCTCTGATTGAGGCATGCACTGAAGGCAACCAATGATGTTTCTCTCTCACATCACTGTCTACCCCCCCGCCACCCCACCCCGCCGTCTCTTTCCCTCCCTCCCTTCCTCTCTCTTTAAAATCAATAAACATAATAAAATAAAATCAATAAACATATCCTTGGGTGAGGATTAAAAAATAATAATAATAATAATTTAAAAATAAAAATAATTATTTCAAATATGTAGTAGAGGCATGAATTGTATAATTGTAAGCACAAGCTAATAATCTTCATACCTGGCAGTACAAGCCTAAGCTCCTACTTTTGTGTTGAAAGGTTGAAACTGACAAAGCCACTGTTGGATTTGAGAGCCTGGAGGAGTGTTACATGGCAAAGATACTTGTTGCTGAAGGTACCAGAGATGTTCCAGTTGGATCAATCATCTGTATCACAGTTGAAAAGTAAGTAGTACCCTGGTAAATTTTGGAACTTAGGTGATTAGTGGAGTGTTTTAACCCAGAATTGAAAATTTAGGAGTTAAAGTCTCCTAAGACTCCTTCTCTAGGAGCTAAATCTACCTCATAATCCCTTATATACTTATGCATTCTTTCTCTTTCTTAGACCTGAGGATATTGAGGCCTTTAAAAATTATACATTGGATTCAGCAGCACCTACCCCACAAGCAGCCCCAGCACCAACCCCTGCTGCCACTTCTTCGCCACCTACACCTTCTGCTCAGGCTCCTGGTAGCTCATATCCCACTCACATGCAGGTGAGGCTCAGCCTCTGGGTGTTTACTCTAGAAAGTTTATTATTTATTCATTAGTTTTCATAGATGGCTATTACATTCTGGAAGCTGGCAGTAAGCATGGCTACCTCTTGTCATTTGAAAGTAAATAGAAATTTAAACATGAAAATTGACAACTTTTATTCTTAGTTATTTCCAGGTGTGTTAACTTGGACAATTAACTTTAACCTTTCTCTGCCACAATGTAGTAGACAGGATAATGCTTGGCATTTTTCATCCAAGAACATTATGTTAGATTTTTGAGGATGATTTATACTTATATCTACCTACTCCTTGTATAAATAGAGTTTTTAGTAGGCCTCATGTGCTATCTATTGAATGAAAGTCCCCCAATGGTGTTTTCATTTGACATGTGGTGGTCTATTTTCTAAGAGTGGATGAAGTAGTCCAGTAAGTAGTATTAATAAATGAGAAAACTGACAATGAAGAATAAATATAAAATAGACATACATGATAGCATTGCACAAAGCCAAAGGCAACAATCACTGTTGATTCTATTAACTAAATCAGTTTTTTAGAAAATAAATCAGTTGCTTAGATATTAGGGTAACCAATGGATGTTTGTGTGTTTTAGATGCTGGAAATGGATAAAAATCAGCTGTCCTTTTCCTTAAAGTATTACGATTAGAACTTTTCCTTCACTTAGTTTATTT